TTTCTTTCTATGGAAGTCCATTGTAACCACTTCATCATAACCCTTACTGTCCTGAATCTGGCAGAATGGAGACACTTGTGGGTTTGTTTTCTGTCATCCCAATTTTGATCCTTGACATCTGGGAACACCACAGAACCTTCTCCGGGACAACAGTAAATTGCTTTTCATTTTGTGGAGGGCACTAGGGCCATGCAGAGAATGCTGCAACCCATTCATGCACCTTCCCTGGGTTTAGGATATTCTTTAAAAATAAAGAAAATACTAAAACATTGCTTTATTGAAATATATAACTTAGCAATATTTATTTTGCTCTATATTGCCATTTCCCCACTGCTTGTTTTTTTTTTTGTGTGTTTATACTACCTGTTTCCTATGTTACATTTGTATGTAAATATTATATATTGTCATTACCCCAGTAATCTACTAGAGATGCCCCTTGAGTCCCCCTTCCACCCTGATTAACATGCTATCAATGTAGGGAGGTATGCTTTTTGGTCATGTTGATGGGTGCTATCTAGGCTGGTGCTTCACAGACCTCTGATAATACAATTCTGGCAAGTGTGATGGAGATTGCACTACCATACGAGGATTCACACACTTAGGGTTATTTAGGAAAGTGAGAATTCAATGTGAATTTCTAATTAGTCAGATTGGCTGTACTGAAACCATAGAAGACTTAAAGAATTTTTCTATTTTGGTTATTTGGACCTTTAAATTTGAGATTCGCTTTATTATTTATTTTTTTGTCAATCATTTTTTTTTTAAATTGAAGTACATATGAGTCATACATTACAAACTGTAATGATGCAGGTAATTTATTCTGTGTTATAACATTACACAGAGATTAAAATGTCCTCATTTTATGTTTAAGTAAAAGATAAATGTTGGTTAAGATATCTCAAAAGCAAGAGCAGCGTATAAAACAAACAATAACCACTTATAACAAAATTGAAACATGACATGAGATGGGAATAAAACCAGTGATAACTGGCAGCTCAACAAAAGAAGGAAATTTGCAGAACAAAATGAAGAAACACAAAATGAGACATCTGCGGCTGTTCTATGCATGCAACATAAAATACCACAGTTTTAGAGAATCATCTAGATCAGGGGTCAGCAAGTTACAGCATGTGTGCATGGCAGTCGAGGTACCTTTGCACGGCACTTAAGGCTGCCAGACCTCAAGTACCTCCTACCAGTCCAGGATTTGGGGATTACCCTGTTGTGTCTAAAGTTTTTGTTTTGTTTTTTTCTAAAAACACCTTAGACACAATTGGGTAATCCCTAAATCCTGGACTGGTAGGGGGTACTTGAGGACTGGGCTCTAGTGCAAACCAAGGGGTGATTGTAGGTGCAATCCTCAGTTTATGCTTTTCAGCATTTAGAGAAAGTGATTTCAGGTTCCAGCACTTGAGATCAGGAATCTGCACTGGAGTAGATCAGCCTGCAGCAGCTATCACAGTGCCTGCCCTTGACGTGTATCTGGCCAGCCCAATCCCCACTGGACCCCAGGGAAGCCACCTACACTACTAGATATACACAGAACTGCTGAAGAAGCCTCCCCTTCATACAAATAATACAAACAGTTCCCACAAACACAACACTATTGACAATCCAAAAACAGGCAATACAACAAACAGCCCCACACATACCATCAAACACATCATCCACACTTACAATTATACAAGCAGCCCTCATACACAGCGCACATCCATAGGTATCAGACATAATACCATAAACTGCTCATAAACATATATAATATAACAGCCCACATACATAAATACAATGCTACAAAACAATTGCAGCACTCATAAATAACACAAGCAGAATACAGCAATATACACACTTCAATTTTTTTTTTTATAATAAAAGGACTGGCATGCCAAGGGTCTTCAATATTTTGTTTTGGCACATTACTACTAATACAATGCCTCTCCCCGATCTAGATTGTACAGGCTGAGAGACTGGGATGCCATTAATATAGGCCCTACGGCTAACACAAAAAGGAGAGCTCAGCTGATGCCTACTGGTGAAAAGCCACTGCATAAGCATATGTTCAGCGCCCAGATTAGGATTTTGAGATCTTCCCACAGAATGCACCCAACAGTGTAATTTGGGGGACTTCTCAATGGTGTGAGCTGTGCATAGGGGTTCATGGTTTGGCTCATGGTGATGGCGAGATTGGTTAGTGAGCGGTGATGTGCCGACTGAGACTTCTGCTGCTGTGATACCTTGCTAGAGCCACTCTCCGTAAGATTCAACTTGTGGTGTCGATGAGTAGATATAGGCTAAGTCTCCTGGGCATGGGGCATAGATAAGGTACCAACTGCTTGTTGGTGGAGCTTAGTCCACAATTTTGAACATAGTTGATCAAAGGCTTAGGTAAGCATGTCCACATGGGACGAAACAGGTGATAGAGCTGACCTCAGAGTGGTGGCCATTTTTAAGAATAGCCCCAAAGAAACCAACTGTGCTAATGGGTTCAGCTAAATTCCAGATCAAACACTCAGCTTGTTATTCCCTGGTAGATAAAGAAGCATATCTGAAGAACATGCTGGAAGTCTCTATAGCTGTAATTCATTGTGGTCATCAAACAGAGGTGAGAGGAGGAAACAGAATCCAGCAGGTACATACCCAGGAAAAGGCAGAATAAGAGTAAAAAAGAGGACCTGTTTTTTCAGGACTGAGTTCTAGTGGACCACAGCTCATGCACTATGCCCCTATTGCTTCTCTACTGGATTGTGATGATCAGTAAATTATCTCACCACGGAGCAAATTGGGATGCTTCAATTGGAATGTTTTTCCACTAGAATAAATGTAAGTTTTTTTATAATAAAGGGGAAGCCCTAAATCTAATCTAAAAATATGTCCCCGGGGAACTACAAAAAATAATATTTAAAGGGATTCTATAGTGTAAGTAATACAAAGCTGTATTCCTTACACTAGATTTTCCTCTAGCCTTCCCATCCCTCACACCACCCACCAGCATGTAAAGGGTTAAAAAAACTTTGTCACTTACCTGATTCCAGCATCGATCTCCCTTGGCACTTGGTCAGCGCTCTGCCTCATTCAACGTCACCCGACAGGAGGAAAGGGGGGCTAATGCGCATGTGCAGCAATCGCATTGGGCCCTCCCCTTACAAAAGAATTTCTTCAATGCTTTCTTATGGGGATTTTACTAAGGATGGAGGTCGGACGTCTAGAATCAGTTAGGCGACCTTAAGTCGCCTAGCAAGCAGGAACTATTTAGAAAATTGGGCAGACTAGATGGGCCGAATGGTTCTTATCTTATTCTGTTTCTATGTTTCTAACTGCCTTTAGTGGCTCTCTGATTGACAGCCACTAGAGGCAGTATTAGTCCTGCAAGGTAAATATTTCAGTTTCTTAAAAGCTTCAATGTCTTCTAAAGCGGCAGTGCTTATTGTGCCAGGAGTACAATTTGACAACTTACCTGGGTCATGCTGGGCACGTCTAACTGCATACTCTGATATGATCTTCTGTAGGAGAAGCTGGATTGCTCTACAGTGCAATGTACAACCATGCAGAGCTATGCTATATTGGCAGAGGGTACCATTCTGTTTTGGCTATGCTATATTCTATATTTTTTCTGCAGGAGAACCCAGACAAGTTGTCAAATCAAACTAAAATGATAACTATATTTACTGAGGGATGGCAGCAGGTTGCTACTGGCAGCATAATCACTATAGTGGCATATGGTGTGTTCCTATAATTAACTGATTTCTTACATTTGGCATTTGAATTCAGTATAGTGCAGGGTATTACTTTTCGTGTGCCTTCATTATTTATTGATTAAAGTAACTGTATGGCATCATAACATCTTCATCGAAATTAAATTGCTATGGTGCCCAGCGGTCCCTGGTGCTTTCTTACCTGAAGGGGTTAAACCTTTCCACAAATCCCACAGGTTTGACAACAGCGCAGGATCTACCTTTCCCCAATGGCACCTGGAGTGCCACGGCCAGGGGCGCCGCTGATTAGCTAGAGGTGCCAGCTGACACTCTAAGCCAATCAGTAGCTCCCTATTCATAAAAAGGCACCTTTTTACCTGACCACTCTAGCCAATCAGCAGCGCACTTGCGTGGAGGCAGTCCACACATGAAGAAACACGGTGCCATTGAGGAAATTGAGATCCTGCGCGGGGGAGCAATCTTTTGCATTAAACCGTTCGAGAACAGTTTAGCACATTCAGATAAAAAAGCGCCAGGGACCTCTGGGCACCATAACAACTAAATTTCCATGAAGTTGTTATGTCGAACATACAGTTCCTTTAATATGTAAGTGGTAAATGTCCAGTGGATCTGACATCCATGGACGAACTAGTACTGCATAAATGTTAAAGTAATGTCTGTGATTTCTGATCAATGGCTATTTTAAACCTGCAATTCGAAATTCACATATGCTTCCATATCCTCATAGATATCATCCTGTAATGAATGTTTACAAAACTTTGTTAAATACATAAAATGATGAATTCTAGAATATCTTACAGCAAACAAAGCTCCTCCCTGGTCCAAGATATCTGCACCTTTAACCCCTTAAGGACCAAACTTCTGGAATAAAAGGGAATCATGACATGTCAGACATATCATGTGTCCTTAAGGGGTTAAAGCACTCTAATTAATGTGTACTGTACATCTGTGTACATTGCAATGTGCATAAGCAGTTTATCTATTGTATCATTACGTACAGTCTCATCCTACATTGTTATAGCTGCAACTCAGTCCACAGTGTGTAATGGTCAGCACTGTAATGGCACAGACAGAAGACGTTTGGGAAAATATTACCCCTTGACAGGGAGAAGGAGGAGGGGAAAGTTTCTTTAGGGCGGTAACTGGTGTGTCAGGAAGTAACCAACAAAAGAAAAAGCCATCTGCAAGTACAACAGGTAGGACAACCATCCCCAGCAGCAGTGGAAACAATCTACCTTCCAAACAGTGTAACTCCAGCCTGTGACGGAGAACCAGAGGGGCATATACACCATGGCAAGCTCACCAGGTTGGTATAAATCAGGCTTAACATGCCCGCGGGTAAAACACACAAAGGGCTGATCTCATGTGAGTCAGAGCTCTTTAACCTTACAGTCTGTGCTTTGCTTAAACATTGCCTCAGGATTTTTACCAGGCACAAACATAACTATTAACTCTTCGAGTTCCAGAAGGGAAAGTTGAGCACTGGCACGCATGGGTAGAATTGGCAAACACATGGATAGTTTTTTTTTTTTTTTTTTCATAACTCAACTGCGTCTAGAATGCTACTTGTAAATGTATCAAGGGTTTTAATCGGCAGTTACTCGAAGGCACACGGACAACCTTGCCAGTTATTATACTGACTTCTTTACAGCGATTACTAATTTTGTCATTCTGAGGTTTAAAAGCTGGCTTGGGATCATGGAACATGTAGATCTGAAACATTTTGGGTGTTGGGTGCCAATGCTAGTTTCCCCTAAACAGGCTGGGGTTTCAGTTTGTGCTTATAATGCAGTTTTTAAGTTAATTAATATCTCTAACCCTGGCTTATCAATAACCATTCCCTCACCGCTAATCTTTGGGTGTGTTAATGTGAAAGGAATGGTTTACCTCTAATGAAGGTGATTTGTAGCTGTCACTGCAAGTAACCCTTAAAAATTGTATTACCTGTTTTACTTGTTATTTTTTTCTGTGAAAAACTGCACAAGATAATATTTCAAACCATTACGAATGTTACAGACCGCCTTTTATTTGGCATTATGTACACTTGCTTTAAAACTCTCTGCACAATTATGTTTTAATCAACATTTTCTCTCTCTCTAATAAGATAATACAAGCAATTTAAGATTCTGTCAACAGACTTAATCTATTCTGTGTTTGTACCTTGACAAAATGCTTCCAGGACTTACCTAGGACTATACTTTTTTTGCCTCATGTATAAATATACCCCACTCTCTTCAGACTGTTTGTTTTATTTGTATCTATCCTGTATTTACTGCACTGTGCTGCATACTATGGCCTAGAATGTTTTTTTAATAAGCTTTCTAAATTATTCTATAATGTTAAAAAAAACTTTACAAATTTATCTACGAAAAGTCAGGGATTATACCGTCCACGCTATGTTTACTAAGAGCTAGGATAGCTCTACACAACGTGAGTGGACCTTTTTGTCTGTACACTTTTTTATTTATTTATTTATTTTTTATATTTCTTTCATGCTTTTGATCCATGCATTCTGAAGACTTTGTATGTGCAATTGTTATTGCTTATGTTTTCACTTGTCACAATTTTTTTATATATTATTTAGAGCGCAGCATTTATTTTTGTTTTGTTTTTGCATACTAGTGTTTGTTGCAGCTAAGGTTTCTTTTTTTGTTTTTGTTCTGTAGTGATATATCTATAGAGTGTGTGTGTGTGTGTGTGTGTGTGATATACACACAAAATTAAGCAATAAAAAAAAAATATATCTTTTGGCATTGTTATTTTGGCACCTTTTCTGCAGCATAATTTTGCAATTCTATTTTATGTCCCAGCATTAACAATTATCAGAATCTCATCACAGCTAACCTGGATACAGTTTAGAGTGTGTTGTTTATGTCCCTGTCCTTATATCATGTATGTATTAATTGTATCACCTGATCCCTCCAGGAGCACTGTTATTTATATCTACATTAGCTCACAGTGTCTCTGGGGCAGTAAATAAACGTATGCATCAACCAACATGTCCTGACACAAACCACTTCCAGGAAAAGAAATGATCAGAACTGTTCTTTAATTTTACTAGTGCCCTTGTCATTTTACCAATCAATGTAAATAATTGCTGTCTAGTAGATATGGCGTTGTGTTGGCAGGGCTTAATACACTTGTTGGACAAAAGTTATTTGTTCGGTTCTGGGTCCACTTCTCTTTAATCTGTTTATAATAAATGGTCTTGAAGTGGGCATTGAAGTAATGTTTCAGTGTTTGCAGATGACATAGAACCAGGTAATACAATACAGTCTGAACATGATATAACTTCTTTATAGAAGGATTTGGATAAATTGGGGGACTGGGCAGGCAAGTGGCAGATAAGATTCAATGCAAACTTCTCTTGCGACCCATTTTTGACTCTCCACAATTTTAAAGGGATAATCCAGACGTGGACCCCTTGCTCACGGTGCCTAGGGAGATATCAGCTATGCCTCACTGATGATGCCTAACAAGGCTGAAACGATCGTCTGGGGTTGCTGTATCTCTCGTGCAGAGAGAACTTGCTGGCATTTCGGATCTGGACTGCCCGTATGGGTGGGACCAGTCTGATATGCTTCAGATATGTTCTCTCTGTAATGGCACAAGATGAGCAAAAATCAGCTTGAGAACTGAGCGGGGACCGACCGAAGGGCAGGCTATTTCAGCTGCTGCCCGTTCTCAGTATTCTCTTGCGACCCATTTTTGACTCTCCACAATTTTAAAGGGATAATCCAGACGTGGACCCCTTGCTCACGGTGCCTAGGGAGATATCAGCTATGCCTCACTGATGATGCCTAACAAGGCTGAAACGATCGTCTGGGGTTGCTGTATCTCTCGTGCAGAGAGAACTTGCTGGCATTTCGGATCTGGACTGCCCGTATGGGTGGGACCAGTCTGATATGCTTCAGATATGTTCTCTCTGTAATGGCACAAGATGAGCAAAAATCAGCTTGAGAACTGAGCGGGGACCGACCGAAGGGCAGGCTATTTCAGCTGCTGCCCGTTCTCAGTATTCTCTTGCGACCCATTTTTGACTCTCCACAATTTTAAAGGGATAATCCAGACGTGGACCCCTTGCTCACGGTGCCTAGGGAGATATCAGCTATGCCTCACTGATGATGCCTAACAAGGCTGAAACGATCGTCTGGGGTTGCTGTATCTCTCGTGCAGAGAGAACTTGCTGGCATTTCGGATCTGGACTGCCCGTATGGGTGGGACCAGTCTGATATGCTTCAGATATGTTCTCTCTGTAATGGCACAAGATGAGCAAAAATCAGCTTGAGAACTGAGCGGGGACCGACCGAAGGGCAGGCTATTTCAGCTGCTGCCCGTTCTCAGTATTCTCTGGCGACCCATTTTTGACTCAATGCAAACTCATGCATTTTGGAATAAGGAATCCATATGCCACTTATACATTTAATGGGGTTTAGTTAGGGGGAACATAATATTGATAATAAACTAGTCAACGATATGCAATCCTGCACTGCCACTGCAAAGGCTAGTAAGGTGCTGTCTGCAGAAGTGAGCAGGGTCCTGACAGGGCTTTTCAGGGTTATAGATTCAGGTATACCTTTTATGCAAATGTTATTTTACTTGCGGCTGTGCCTGGTAAGGTGGTGTAATCTTCTAATATCTTGTACATTTTGTCCACAGACATAACTCATCTACTTGGCTCTCCAGCCTGTCACTTCTGTCACCCCGGTTATGAATTTCAAGGTGTAGGTCTTCTATTCTAGCTCTAAAGTCAGATTGCAGAGTATTCATAAAGGGCCTCCAACTTTTTTTCCTGTTACTCTGATCACATCTGATGGTGGGCTAGTACTGAGGGTGGTGCGGTTGTGACGGAGTAGCCGCCATCTTGTCCGCTACGAGTATTTTCTATTCTTGACGCTTAACTTCAGTGGGGGCTTTGTCAGTTGGAGGGTGGATATACTATGGCAGTGTAATGCATTTTTGTGAATAAAAGTTTTATTCGTCACCATATATAAATCATTTTGCGGGTATCCTGGAAAGCATGTATCAATGGTAATCATTTTTAGAAGGCGTACAGTAACTTTGCAAACAGCCACACAGGCTAACCTCATCAAGATTAAGAAAAATGAAAACTTGGACCCTCCCATCCTACATTAATAAACATTATGCTCTTCTAAACGGAGTATGCAGTACTGGGAAGAGTGTCCCATGGGCCTGTGCAGCCATCACAAGTCAATACATAGTCAGGATGCGAACAGTCACTCAGGACAGAAATAAAGACAGCAATAATAATGAAAACGTGAGCTGGGACCCTTGAGTCCTTCATCAGTAATCATTATGCTCGTATAAAAAGATGATTTCCTTTCTCCAAGGGCCTATTCAGCTAACTCGGGTCTAGCCCTATCTATGAGCAATGGAGCGCCCCATCCTTAGCCCACTACTGTCATGTGTCTGTGGATGGATAAGGTCATTAAAGTAGCAGACAGGTCAGCTCCCAAATCCGGTCCAACACCCCAACATTTGACAGAAAGCTCTTCACCTCCCATCCAATGGGCAGCTCCTCTTTACCAGCAGCCCAGGGTCTGTCCCTCCAACTGGCCTGCCCCCCACCATCGTCCACAACTCCCTGGCTGTCTACTGGGGGACCATACGTCAGCAAAGCTTGGAAGTCTGGGTGGTAAGCGTTAAGCAGCCAATGAGTCCAGATATCTGTGTACATCCCTGGGACGCAAGGGTCAGCTCCTCTAACCGTTGTAGGTCCTCCATTTTGTCAAACCATAATGTCAGGGGTGGGGTTCCTCTTTTTTCCAGTAAAGGGGGCTAACCTGTTTGGCTGTGTTCAGGATCCGTATGGGCATGGATCGTTTGTATTTGGCTATGGGAGTGATGGTGTGGTGAAAGAGGAATGGTGCTGGTTTGAGAGGTGACAGTGTTGTCTGAGAACTTCCCCCAGGCTGGCACTAATTGCTGTCCAGAAAGGTTGGTTTTAGGGCAGTCGCACGAGACATGCAGGAACGTGCCTAATGTGGCCCGGCAGCGCCAACACTTGCCGTCTTAAGCAGGATTAATCTTCTGGAGGAGCGGTGTTTTATACTATTGTGTTAACACTTTTATAGGCTGTCTCCTGGGTTCTGCTAGCTAACGCGCAGTGATGCACTAGATCGCAAATTTTCTCCCCCATGGGTTGTCTGTGAGGGTTTCCCCAAGGGCCTCTTCCCATTTCCCCATGTAGCCCCCCAAGGTTCCCTTGTGTTTGGAGCAGGGAGTATAGAAAATAGACTGTGTGGGGTAGGGTCTATACAGTTTTGTTCGAAAGAGGTAAGAGCGCTGTACAAGTCTGGTTGTTGAGGTATGTGAGTGAGAAACCTTTTCAGTTGTGTATACTTGAACCTATGCATGAGTCTTCCTATGTTATCCCCCTAATAAGTCCTCTAGGGTCTTGATTCCCTTCCACTTAGTCATGTGGCAGACCTGGACCTGTGCATGTGGAAAGAAGCATGAGTAGGGTCTACTCCCCCAATCCCGGTGGGAAGTCGGGCTTGTTGGTGAGTGGGTACAGAGGGGATGGGATGAGAGGCCCAATTTGGGGGCCAACCTATGCCAGATTTCAAGAGTGGCCTTGATACATGGCTGTTGACCCATCAACATCCTACCCTCTCCACATGACATCCAGACTAGAGCTTGTAGGGAGCCCCTTGCTTGGCGTTGCTCGATGTCTTTCCATAATTTAGTCACCCTGCCCTTGGCCCATTCTAGTACTCTTTGCATGTGTATGGAGTGGTAATATAGAAGAAAGTCAGGCACTGCCAGCCCCCCTCTCGTTTAGTCAGAATCTGGTATCGTAGTCGAGGTTTCTGAGAGCCCCATATATAGTTTATCAGTAGTGACCTCAGGGATATGAAATATGGAGCCGGGATCTTGATCTTGATAGGGAGCGTCTGGAACAGGTAGAGGATGCGCGGTAGGATGTTCATCTTAGCGATGCGTTCCAGCCAGGAAATGCTTGGTAGTGTCCAATCGGCCAAGTTATTCCGTATCGTAGACCGCATTGGAGTAAAGTCTGTCTCGTAGAGTTGAGTGAGGTCTCTAGTTATCCAGATCCCCAGGTACTTAACGGCTTATCTGACCATTGAAAGTTCCCATGCACGATGGTGGCCCTGTCCGAAGGCACGGAGTTGTTAAGCAGTGTCGACTTGGTATAATTGATTTTGCAGTTAGACAGGTCTCTGTAGATTCCGTACTCCCGCATGATGTTTGGCAGTGTAATCTCTGGGGATGCCACGAAAAACAGGCGATTGTCGTGTAAGCAGCAACCTTATGCATCTTGAATACCACGTATATCTGGATTCCTCTGTACTGCCTGTATGAACGATTTGAGGACAAGGACGAAGAGCAGCGGTGACAGAGGGCAGCCCTGGTGTGTGCCATTTTGAAAGGGTTCCGTGTATGCCCAATTGATACAGGCCCTGACTTTTGGGTTATCATACAGGGCTGCTATTCTGGCCCGCATTTGAGATCCCACATCAAGTGCCCGCAGACTTTGGAAGAGAAAGTCACAGCTCACCCTGTTGAAGACCTTCTCTGCATCTGTGGACAGCAGGAGGAGGCCCTTGCTGGATGGATGGACGGACGCACGCACACACACACACTTGTGGGTATTTCTCTCCCCCTTTCCCGTAAATTGCTTATAATGTATAGGCAATCTGTCCGGTTGTAGGCTCTTACCAGTTTTCATGGTCTTCACTGCTGCTGCCAGTTCCTCGATGGATCTCGTGCCTCCCCCTCCAGCGTGGTATGAATATTAATCTCCAGGTAGCGGTGGATGGCATCCCCTCTCCCATTCGGTTGGGGCCCACTTGATTCCCCACTCATTGCATACAGGGCTTCATAGTAGGAGCGTGAAACCCATGCAATGGCGTCCGGCATGTGTTGTACCCAGCCCTTGGGGTCTTGCAAAAATGCAATTTCGTTTTCCATTTGATGATGTGGGCCAGCAATTTGCCGCATTTGTCACTGTTTAGGTAAAAGTGCGCTTTGGTCTGGAGAGGGGATCATTGATATAGTCTGTGGAGGATGGTAGCCAAGTCCCTTCTCAGGGCCACTAGGTCCTGAAAGGCAGTCAAGTTGGGGCCTCAATTTATGGGTCCGTTCAAGTCTGAGTTTGTCCTCTGTAAGCTGTCTCACTCCTGTTTTTGCTCTCACATTTTTAGCTGGGGCTCCTATGGCCATGAAGAAGCCACAAACTGTGCACTTTTGAGCTTCCCAAATGGTCGGGACAGATACCTTTGTCACGAACACACCCTACTCCAAGAGTGTGCGTGACGTAGTTGTGGTGTTGAAAGGGTTAAACTTCACTATTTGTCTGCACTAGACCAGAAATAATGACAAAATCCCCCTTTTACCACCACCCACACTTAAAGATTGTAACATAACTATTACTATTTTAACACTGCCACCACCAAGACTATTTATAAATGAGGTGCCTTGGTCCCCCAGGTAAATCAATAATGAAACCCACCAAATATTACTTAGCACAATATTTAAAGAATTGCAAAAATACTAATTAGTCTCTTCAGGTAACGTGATGCTTAACCAGACAAAGGCAGAACTTAATAAATGAGTGTTTATTATGAGCAAAAAAGTCACAGTACAAACAAATATATGATAAATTATTTTCACCAACAACAGATAAAAACAAAAAGGATTAAATACAGAAGTCCTAATTACTCAATTAGGTTTTCAAAGTACAACCTCTGCCCAGTGGGTCTCTGTCAAGGAAGGATGATGGTGACTCACTCAAAATTAGATCTTGGCCCCAAGCAAGTACACCAACACCACTCCAAATATTGGATATATACTCTGTGGATTATCAAGTCCTGCTTAGGTGTGGAGTTAAGGGGTATCTATAGAAATAAGTGACCACATCCTTTGTTCCAGACCACCGTCAATCCAAATGGAAACATTTGGCTCTATCTTTTCTTATGTACCTGCCACATAAATAATAATTGCATCTACAAATTTATTTTCCCATTCCATAGACATGTCATACGCCCCACCCGCAATCCAGTAGGATGGACATCATAATTCCTTCCCCTATGGTCAAGTCAGGCCACTCGTGTTTGGGCTTGTTTAGAAGATGGCGCTTGTCACATTCCAAATATAACAAAAATGAGGCTTAATTATTATTCTGTGGGGGTACATATTAATGTTTCTTTTGGATATGATACTTGAACACAAGGCTAATGATCATTAACATATCAAAGAGATCCCCTCTTCAATTATAAGGTACATGCCAAATGGATGAAGAGACATTCAGACTTTTTCCAAGTGTAGAACCTCACACCTTGCAGAACCTTGAGTAATTCACATGCATATGGTAAAATCCTTTTCACATTGCTATGCCATTCATACTACTCCTTCTGGCATCTGACCTCTGTGAGGGTCCCAGCTTCAAAAGAGGCTTCCCCTTTTGACCTTGACAATACCATCACTGCCAGGCCAGCAGGTCCTTAATATACTACACAAATTATATTAAAGGACAATATTCCATAGTGTAATAATAAATTATGCACCCTTGCCAAGACACCTCGGGCGTCGAGTTCTCATCAAAATAGTTTGCCAGCGTGGTGTTTATGTCCGGCAGGACCAGTGGGTAATTGAGAAGGGTCTCATTTAATCTCCAAATTTACCGTCTTGGGTCTAGAGAGTGGGTTGATCTGACTGAGCGTGAGGGGGGCATGGTCAGACCAAGTTGTAACTCCAAGAGTGGCCTGGGTAACAGTATGTAGATAGTAGGGAATGATGTAGTCCTGGCGAGAATATCTAGCATGGGGAATAGAGTAGTATGAATAATCCCTACTGTCCAGGTGCATAGCCCGCTAGCAGTCGGTTAGGCGGTGTGTGAGGAGTAGGTTTCTAATCCTCTGGAGTGTGTGGTCAGGGACAGCTGATGTGCCTGTCGAGGTATCTACTCGGGGGGTGTAAAGCTAAATTAAAGTCTCCCCCTAAAATTAGCCCTCCATAAAGGCCATTAAAGTTTTCAGCGTGGCCCTTAAAAACCTGCCTTGTTGCGAGTTAAGGGCATAATTGTTTGCAACCGGGTCCGGCCACTTCATGTTGAGAGGTGGGAGGGAGATCAAGGTCCCCAGGTGGACCAGGTCGGCGTGGAATCGTAACACCACCATGCCATTCGGAGTATTCACGGATAGACCAGTCCAGCACAACCAACGGTAATGGACCCCTTTTCGACTGAGGAACCGCAACATCCTGTGGTAGTGTAGCGTGACCTGGGAAAGATCCGGGAACAACTGCAGCTCAGCCTGAAGATGATGAAGGGTGCCGGCATCCCTGGCCACCCGCAGGATTCGCTCCGGGAACGATTCCAGGCAGCATATCACGTCCCGCGGTGGGGCCTCCAGTGGTCCTCGAGGCCACAAGGCCCGATGGGCACAGACAAATGCAATCTTCGTGGATGGGTCGCATTTCAGCATGCCATTGAAGATCTCTTCCAGGGTAGTGCACAGCTGGTCATGGGAGCTGTCTTATTCAGAGAGGCCCTGCAGCCGCAGGTTATTCCGCCTATCCCCAATTATCAATATCCTCCATGTGGAGGCCCAGGCACCGAAGATATTCCGAGGTCCCCCTGGAGTAGGGCACAGGTGTATTAGAGAAGTCGATCTGGCCCTGCACGTCATCTCGCGACGCCTGGATTGAGGCCTGCAGCACGCTGTTAGCAGCCGCCAGATCAGCCCAGAGGAATCGGGCGCCCCTCCTGCATGGTAAAGCAAGGGGAGGCGTCTTCCTGGTTGTCTGAGGTCTCATCCGACATGGGCTGAGAGGTACCGTTGGAGAGACTGGGTCAGCAAGCCCCTTTTGGAAGCAGCATCCTTCTGGGAGCCGGTGAGCCTATTATTCTTCCCCATTGAAGCAGGTAAGTTGGGAATTATTTAGCTGCAGAACACGAGGCAATGGAGCAGGAAAAGTTTAGGCGGCCATCACCATCCAGAGCCAAGCCACGCCCCCTGTTTAATGAATTTTAGGTCTGTATGGTCGGTTTGGAAATATCTAGATGGTCTAGACTCCATGTGAAAGCTTGCTATGGCTGTGCCACAAAACATTTTCTACTTCATTCCTTATTTTTTTATGGATTGTTACATGTGTGTTATTTTCTTATCCCATGAAGCTTGTGCAAGTTACTTCAAACTTTATTTTATAAATGAAATGTAGTTTTTTCATGTTTCTTCTAAATTGCATAGATCTGAATTACCACTTAACCTAGTTCTACATTTTACCCTTCAAAGGCAACAAGTCCTGTTATCAAATGATAGAGATTTATTCCCATAATTGTGCTTTTGCTTACAGGCCAGCAAGAAACAGACAGCAAAAAGCTAAAAAAGAGCCAAGGTAGAGTATGTTTTTCCTAATTTTTGTTTTCAGATAGTTTTATTTAGAGCTAATTCTGCGTTTATTGGAAACATCTGATCATTTTTAATTGCAATAGTCCAGAGTGTGTCCCACAGGGCAATTTTTAAATATGTAATTTATTGAACACCGTTTTACTCTTCTAAACACATTTTAATGATCAGTGTCTCAAGCTATCCTTTTTATGTTATACGTCTTTATCTATACATGTGTTTTCTCAGTTATATATATATTTTTTTTAATAAATTGATAGCACCTCTCCTAATAGTTACTGACAACTCTACCACCATTGTGGAGGAAAATTAGATGAATTGTTATAAACTAGCTATAAATGTAGAAATAGAGACATAGGTAAACATTTAGATCTCACTTTAGAGAGCATAAATTGAGCTTAAGCAGGGGAGGTACTAATTTAATGATTCTCATTCCAAGAGTGTATATTAGTAATTACTTGATTTTTCTATTGCATGACGAAAAGTCATCATTTTCTTAAAGACATAGAGGCGAGTATTGAATATCCATTTCTTTACTGTCCACCAATAACCGCAAAGAATACAAACAGAAAAAATAATGAATACACAGTGACATAGGCCACTATAATAGCAAGCACCTTTCTCTTTCTTGAAAATGCAACACACCACCATAAAAGTCCGGAGAACAGGAAACGTCAGACCTAATCCAACAGAGAAAAAACAGGAGCCCAAAGGTTAAATCTGTACCGTAAACCAACATCAATGGCCAGATAACCATAGGCACCACAATTGACCCAAAATCACCAATAGTGTACACCAAACAGAGCCTATACAGATAACCCCAACCAAAACCATCTAGGTAAAATACCCCAATATCCGTACTATTGATCCATAATTTGAGACAAAAGAACGGGTGGGGGGAACATACATAAGAACACAAGATGAAAATGAAATACTCGCAAGGTGGTGCAATACTCGCCCCTATGTCATTAATAAACTCATGACCTTTTTGTCATGCAATAGCAACACCATGTGATTTTATAGCAAGACACGGAGGCTCATATTGCAAGTTTTAAGCTGACTGATCATGCAAATAGAAAATAAAATTTATGAAAATTAGACTCCCGCGACCAGTCGGCCATCCTCATCAAATCCTCCAATTGTGCACCTGACGCTACAATCAAAGAGACTGACAGAATGAAGGCCAAAAACCTAAGTGTCCACAACTGACTGGCTGAACAGAAATTTCAACCAACGAGACAACATAGTGCTCGCCCCCAGGGAAAAAGGTGGACGAATGGAGAGAGAAAAAGCTAAGGGGTAGACAAGGAACGAATCGATCTGGTATGATCTTCATACTCGCGCAAGCAGACCATCAGACATAAAGCCGGTGCTGAGGGAAAAGCCAGGTACGACACAGACTTAATTGAAGTCTTAGTGCGCATAAAAATATTAAAGGTCACCCCATCTGGAAGTTAGGTCCAAGCCTTGAAATCCAAGGCACGCACATCCAACACCCTCTTGCAAGAGATGAGGCAAAAGAGAAAGTAATTTAGCTGACGCCAACAAGCGTGAAATAGCATCCGAAAATACCTGTACCTCCCAGGGTCCCCTGAAATCCACCACGCTATCAGAAGTAGTGATCCATCCTCGAGGTGAGGATGACAACAACCTAATGCGTTGCAAAGGAATCCTGGGTAAGATGGCAACAGTCTGGAATAATCCACCACCATGTCCAGAAGTTGCGGCACCATGACTGTATTCCCCCAAAACGGAGCAAGAAGGACCAGTTCGGTCCCATAGCGTCGGATCTGAAGTAGAGTCCAGGGAAGCACAGAAGGAATGCCCCATGCCACTCCTGTAGGAAAAAGTGTCAAAAGCCTCCGCTTCAGGGTCCAGACACCAGCTGAAGAAGTGAGGCAGCTGGGCATTGAGTCATGACACAAATATGTCGATGGCAAAAGGACCCCAAAGAGACGATATAGCTGACGAAACCTAAGAATGAGAGTAGATCCATGGTCCATTAAAAATGTCGTAGGAGGACTGAGCGATCCCAGGCCATAAACCGTATGTCATCCAGGTAGACAAAAAGGTGTAGACTTTGACTGAACAGCCAGACCATCGCCAGGCGCAGCAGCTTGGTGAAGTACCAAGGCGCAGAGGAGAGATCAAAGAGAAGACCTGTAAAGCGCCAGATTCTATTCTTCCAACGGAAACAAAGTAGAACCGAGATGGTTGGCCACCAGAACCATAAGATACGTGTCATTCAAATCCAGTTTCGGCAACCAGTTCCCACGTAGGAGCAGGTTGATGTCACATTTGGTCACCTTTCTTTTCTATGAGGAAAATATTGCTGATGAACCCGGTGGGATTCAGCGGAGCAAGTACGATCGCCTCCTTGACAAGGGGAGCCGACAATTCCTTGTCGATCAACCTGCGGTCTTAAAGGGAATAACAGATCGGTCAAGGGGACAGAATGTGGCAAGGTACCCCCACAAGCTCCATCTGGAAGCCTTGAACTGAGTCGAGAACACATGCATTGGAGGTTAGAGCTTGTGGCGGAACCAGCCTCGCCACTGGGCATTGGAGAAGACTGATTGCCAGCCTCCTGCCATGTGACTATGGCCCCTGGGATGTATTACCTGCTCTCCTGTACTGCTGAGGATTGCTACCAACTAGGTGGATTTGGCTATGGAGCTTGTGTAGTGCCCTCTGTTGGTAGCAACAGTAATATGCACTACCTGAATAGCAAGACTGGTAATTTGCATATTCGGGTAGATTTGCATATCGCTAATTCTGCATGGAGGAGAGACATTTTGTGTTAATTATGGTCTTCCCCACCCATTTATAAATATGTAATTATGTTATAAGTCACTGTATGTTCCTTGCTAAAATTTGACGGTTTGTAATTTTATTGAGTTTTCACAGCAGTGTTAATGTAATGACCATATTGGCTAGTCCCAAGTAAAATAAAGTTTTAGACAGTTCTACTTCACCCTCAATTTTGGAGTCCTGTCTCTTATTGGGGGAATCTGCTGCAAGGGATTGCTATAATCACTCCTAAGCTCTTTTAAGAGCTCGTTCCTGCTTCGCTCTGAAGGAAGAGAGGTTCGGCCAGCGGTGGTTGTGGTGTCGGCTAGAGTGCTTGGAATCCTCAAGAAGTGCTAGGAGCATCCATCAACGGAGGTACCCAGTTGGGGTGCCAGGTGATCCTTTACATAGCTGATCAAGCTGGAAAAAAATAATGGACTCTGCCCCCTACACAAACATGAGAAGAAACCTGAGGTAGATGTAAACTCAAGGTAAGGTCTTCTTGCACCGGAATTTCCTTGGAAGCCTCTTGACTGCCATGGTCATCCACGTGATGGGAAGAAAGGGGAATAGGTCCTCGTCTCCTGGTAATTGGGTGGTAATTAAAGGAGCCTTGTCCTGAGCCACCGGATTAGAAGTAACTGCAACCAACCAGACGACCCCTGTATCTGCCTTCCCTAGTAAAGACCCTCCTCGTGGAGGACTGGGCCTTATCTAGGGCTGTATATGCACCAACAAAGCACCCTAGCTCCTTTATAAAGAATGTGCCAAAGAGCCATAACTGCATCAGGGCAAGATTGGCTCCTTTAGGCTCTCTTTTTTTATTTATTTATTTTTTTTTAAAGTATGGCCTTACGCCGTTCCATGGACAGGAAGGTGTTCATACTCATTGCAATGCAAATAGCCCTCTGGACCCAACCACGGAGTTCCTCCAGGTCAAACAGACGGTTATTGACCTTGGTATCTTCTGCCAAATCAAAGAGTTTAGTCAGGGGACCAAAGATGTACAATTGCTTATCCCGGCATGATCGTGTGCAGAGTCCAGACCCTTACCCAGGTTCCAACCCTACTTGGGTCCACCTCTGGGATGTCACACACCTATGTTAGGCACCATAGGCCTAAGACATTCAGCTCTGAGTTTGTTCTAGGCCACCTTGCTGAGTGGGTGCCGCACCCAAGTTTCCAGGTAGCGGGCCACATGGTACGCTGGGAGCCACTTGGCCAATTTAGGATGATGGAGATCATCCAGGTCAAATAAGGGTTCACCCAACGCATCCATGAGGGCAGTCCCCACATCCGCAGGAAGATCAGCCCTCAGATCACCTCTGGTAAAGAGGTCAAGGCCCAAATCAGCAGAATCCCTCTTCTCACTAGACTCGCTTTCCGTGTCAGTCGCTCTCTTTTTGTGCTCTAGCACATTTCCATTGCTCTTTGCGTGGTTGAGACACGCTTTCTGGGACGACCGAAGAAAGGCAGAGGGAGAGACATGCCTAGATTTATGGCTAGTCTTTTTGGGTGCATCTCCTAAAGGGTCCACAGCAAGACGCAGTTGGCGTGTCATGGAATCCGATAAATCTGCATCCGTAGGGTGTGCAAGTAGGGCCTGAGAAATTGTCTGGGATAAGGCTGAGGACATAGAGCCCATGGCAGCCATAATAGCCTCCGTCACTGTGCACTGTAGCGAAATTTAAATCATTCGTACAAGCAAAAAAAACAAAACACCGAAACAGATAAGTTAGATACTTAACTGACTGTGGAGCAGCAAAGAAACAGGAAGGTCTTAGGGAGGTGCTTGCTATTATGGTGAGACTTAGACTGGGAGTAGCCTATGTCACTGTGTGTATACATTATATTTTCTTTCTGTTAGTATTCTTTACTGCTATTGGTGGACAGTAAAGAAAGGGATATGCAATAGGAGCCTTCGTGTCTTACTATAAATTTCCACCTTCCGAGAAAAGAAGTGCTCCTTCACATATGTGTTTCTTTAAAAAAATAAATAATAATAAAAATAAATATATATATAATTTTTTTTTTTTTTTGTAAAGAATATCACAAAAGTATAAACCGTGATATTCTATACATATCCTCTGACATTCTAGACCGACTTTTTAAAAAAAAATTTATATTACATATTTATGGTTTTAGTTACTTGGCTTTGAATTCAGTAACCAGCAATAATTTGAGGTCACAATATATTGCTTGCAATTTTTCCCCAACACTTTTTTTTATTTTTTTCAGTTTGAGTATTGTGGTCTAAATTGTGTGATTCTTTTCCAGTTTAGTGATGCACGTAGTTATAATGTAGGATCATACTTTGTGTGGTTTGATATATCGATAAGCCATATTAGTAACTGTGCAATATGCAGTATATGCCGTTTCCATAGATGGTAGTTGCTTTTCCAATGTGAGAGAATACTATATTTATATTATTTTTCACTTAGATGAATATGAGAACCACACAGAAACTGATGCAATCATCTCAAGGTATGTATTTTAAAATGCTATAATGTAATAAAATCTTTTTATTTTTTTATTTTTTTTAGCACTACTGCTTTTTTTTTGTACCCTTTGCTCTGTCTTTATATTTGCCTTTTTTTTTATTTTTTATTTTTTATTTTTTTTTATTTTTTGCTGATTATGGAATACAGACCCACTTCCATAGCTGCTTTGGCAGATGGGTGTTTTGTGTGATTTGTTTTAATAAATAAGTGCAAGATTTGTTGTTGCGGCACAATTTTCCTTGCCTCATTTCAGCAGCCAGGAGAGCTGTAAACACATGCATAGGAACTTTGGTTAGCTCTCCTGCGCTTAGCCCTGCACCATTGGGCTTAAAGGAACTGTCGTTACCCAGACCACTTCAGGTCATTGAAGTGGTCTGGATGCAGTGTCCCAGGTCATTGTTGTAGTTTTTAAGAAACTGTAATAATTACCTGCTGGGGTTAATTCCATCTCTAGTAGCTGTCTACCAGACAGCCACTAGAGGGACTTCTTAGGCCGTAAGGTGACTTTTGGTCACCTGACACTGGACATGGGAACTTCCAGCATCACACAAAACTCCACAGGAAAGGATTGAATAATGCTTCTCTATGGAGAAATCCTAATGTGAGTGCGGCTATTGCCACACATGCGCATTAGGCTGATGCCGGTGGGTGAGGAGCAAAGGCAGACCTGAGCCAGTGCTGAGGCACATCTGCACTGGACCCAGGTAAGTGACAGAAGATGTCTTTAACACCTTCTGTACCACAAGGGGAGGAGGTGGGCATTGATGGAGGGTGAAGCTATAATGCAAAAAAAGTTTTTCCTTTAGGGTTGAGCAGCACAGTGAATATGATGCTTGGAGTCTGATTGGTTAACCAGTGCTGACTAGCCTCCTTACTGCAGCGCGAACCTCCTACTATGAGATCATCAAGTTGATAACCTGATTGGTTAACCAGTGCTGACTAGCCTCCTTACTGCAGCGCGAACCTCCTACTATGAGATCATCAAGTTGATAACCTTTGTCCCATCAAATGCTTCTTATGGAGAACCATTGTGTACATACAATACATATGCTGCAGTTCACTAATCCAGTGCTTCTCTGTGAAAAGCAATCAACGCTTCTCAGAGGAAAAACACTGTTTGCATACCAAGCATTCAGTGTCTGCATACTTTACATGCTAACCCTGGACATCAAATAAATGAAATTATTGAATTTTTTTTTTTTTTAAATCTGAAGAGCCTATTGGTTGACCATCTAACTACCACTAGAAACTGAAAGCCGTGCTGTTGATCAGAATCTGCAAAAATGCAGGGGCAGCCTTATGGCTCAAAATCACTTTATTAGGTGAAGTAATTTTAGTGCTCTATGCTTCTGTAAGAATGGTTTGAGATTACTTATTACTTCTGTATCAAATGTATTATAAGTGCGTTACTTGATTAGTTTATTTCACAGTTTCCCAACAATATTGCAATTCATAATGTTCTGAATGAAGCCTCCATTAACAGTAGTTTCGGAAAGAGTGAGATAAGTGCCTCTAGTGACAGAACTCTATTGTTCTCTATCCTAACTTTTAGTACTTAATGGAAATTGAGTGTATGACCAAATCAACCACTACTGAAGCAGCTTGAAGCAGTGTAGTGTGGCTGGGTTAAGCTATACAAACCTATATTGTAGTGGACTAGGTCACTAGTTGCTCAGTCATAAGTTTTTCAGCAATTTTTTTTTTTTTAAATGGAATCTGTTGTGACCTACAGTAACTTTTTGATTATTTTAAAGATCATCAAATTCCATATATACATTGTGCTAGCAGTTTTGAGAGCAAATGTATAGATTGGGAGAAATATCTATTAGAAAGTATGTATTTCTCTCACTGTCAATCAATTCTTTGACATAGAGACATTCCACAGACCGTCCATCTGCTAACCATGCACAGCAACCGCAGAGGGTAAGGCAAATCTGCAACAAGTTCCTTTTAGTCCAATAAGCGTTTTATATGAAGCTTCCTGTTACACATTCCACATTCTTTTTTTTGTCCCATCTTCTGTATGAAACTTTTGGACTTGAGCATATGCCCACTTTCATCTTTGTTGTCTCATAACCTTTGTATAGTCTTTGAGTTATGAGCTTTCATGACTCCAAACACGAAACAAAGTTTTACGTAATTTACTAAAACTTCCTCTAGAGTATAATTGGTTGTTTCCACATATAGCTGTAACAGATATTGTAACACAAGTACAAGTAGGATATTTGGAAGCCCACTAGAAACCTGGAACATTTGATTCTGCGTGAAAGATGCTGAAAAAGTTCTGCATCATAATACATCACTATATGTTCTTATTTTGTTTGTGTATAATATATATATTTATATAATTTCTTTTTTCTTTATTCCTGAAGGACAGCAGCGTTGGATCCAGCTGCAGAATATAAAATGAACAATGTAAAGCGAGGCTTGGCCTTGATCTTTAACCATGAAAGGTTCTACTGGCAGTTAACCTTGCCAGAAAGACGTGGAACTAATGCTGACAGAGACAACCTTCATAGAAGGTAAGCGAAAAGCATCAGCTTAAAGGATAACTGTCCAAAAAAAAATCTAAATATAGTCTTTATTTTATAATATTCCATCTAATTGTTTTTTTGTTTTTTTTATTCCAAATTATTCATGGAGTTTTGGAATTTTAGTTCAATGCTAATGTACATAACAGTATGTTTAGAGACAAATGGATTAAGCATGCAAAGATCACACTTTGAGCTAAATATGGATTTTATCCAGGACATTTTTTAAAAAAGAAATAACTTTGCTATTCTCCCTTTCTGACAGTCATTTTGTATGCACATTGGATCAGATTGCCAGGTTTTTTGTTTTTTGTTTTTTTTTGCAACCATCAGTTCATACTCAAATTTGTATGTTCTTTCTGCCGGTAGCATGGTCTATCAGAAGGGTAATTCAGTAAAGTGAGAAGAGTTTCAAATTATTCAAAATGTGAGGCCAAACTAGGTGAACTGCTCTGCTAGGTGACATCGAACGTAAGAACCTTCAAAAATGTTTTAATTAAGACCTGCCTCTGGTGGCTGTCAGTCTGATGAGTTGCAAAATAAGGAGTCCTTTTGTAACCACAGCACCCATGTGAGCACAGCTTGTTTAATGCAGTCTGTGGAGCACTATCTATTGGTAAAACATGTAGACAGCAACAGGAGGTAGTACTTTATCCACACTGCTCCCTCTACGTAATAAAATAAAGAATGGCCAGGCAAACCGCTCTGGAGCTTTGATTTTTGATTAATCTGTTGTCAAATGGTTTAAACCCTGAAGGTAAGAAGGCACCCGGGTACTGCCCCACAACAACCTTAATTGAGCTTAATAGAACACTATATGTAATGTGACTTCATTGGTTGTAGTGCTTGGATTCCTCTGATGCTGTCCTTCCATTCAGTGTTAAATCAGATTTTGGCAGTTTAAAGCTAAATAAGATTATTTGGCCACGTACAGCTCAGCCCTTACTAGAGGTATCGCTGAGGCAGATATTACACACTTCCTTCCAGCCATAACCATTCATACCAGCAATAGGCACTGTGATAGACTGAAAGCACAAGCTGACACACTCAGCCAGTCACAGCAGCCCATTGCTATTTGAGCTAATGTTTCCTCGTTTCGCATTAAAACATTAATGCTAATTGGAAGGATAGCCCTAAGGGACTCCTGACACTATAGCTACTTTAATTAGATATAACAGTGCCTACAGTGTCCATTTAATTTGTAATGGGGATGAGTGGTCCTTTATAAGTTGCACACATTAACCTTTTTTCCCCCCCCCATCTTTCTTTAGGTTACATGACCTTGGGTTCGAAGTAAGAGTGTATAGTGACCTCAAAGCAGTGGAAGTGCTTGAAAAAATCCACGAAGGTACGAAGGCTTTCTAACTTTATTTATAATGTTTATGGCTAATATAGATTTTAAGAAGTGTCCTTGAAAATGTACAGTACAATGTTATACATCTGACATGGGTTGTGTACTCTACAATGAAAGGGAACATCAAATTAAAATATTACTTCACTTAGCGAATTCAAAGCTCTTTAGTTTATTTTCACGTTATGAACATTAGATTAAATTGAGCATAATATAATGTGTAGAAAATAAATATCTCTGGTCTCTTATGGCAGATAATTCTAGAATGTTGATGCTGAAAGGTCAGTGTTCTGATGTAGTTAATGTAGTTATGAAAATCACAGGGACAAAACATTAAATTTTTATTTATTTTAAAGGAACACTAAAGTCACCTGAAAAAACAGCTTAAATTAGGTTGTTCTGGTGAGTATACTAGATTCCTGATGGCCTTTTAATGTAAACACTGTCTTTTCAGAAAAAAAGACCGTGTTTACATTAGAGCCTAGGAATGGCCATTAGAGGGACTTCCTGGTTCAGTCCTGCCCGATGTGCAGTACTCACGTTTTGACTTCCTCACGTTTAGCTGAAGAATTCAAACATAGTATCAGGACACTGCAGTGTCCTACAGTAAAACTCTGAGGCTGTCTGCAGTCTGCTCAAGGCAGCATAGATTTCACAGAAGTACAGGTTGCTAAATGCTGAAGACAGGATTCTGGAGACCCAGCAGGAGGAGAGATTTGCCACCTGCCAGAGATCTACTGGACTTCAAATAGTAAGTAAACTTATTTTAAAAAATAAATGAGTTGGAGAGTAAGCGAGAGCTAGCCTGCCAAAGGGAGAGAGAGACAGACAGACAGACAGACAGACAGACAGACACATATACCAGAGGCCCAGCAGTAATGATGGTGTGAGGGGGCCACCGAACCCACTGAAGTGCACACTAGCAGAGCCCAGTAAAGGGCAATAAATATGTATAGCAGCTAAGGGGGGCACCCTATGCAGCAATAGGCCTGCGACCCTATCCCCATGCAGGGACTCTTGTGCCAAACCTGTCTGTGTCTAAGAGTGTCTTAATATGATCGGAAAAGATCTGCAAATATACACTCCACGTGTTGATCATATACACGGCTCAAAAAAATAAAGGGAACACTTAAACAACACAATGTAACTCGAAGTCAATCACACTTCTGTGAAATCAAACTGTCCACTTAGGAAGCAACACTGAGTGATAATCAATTTCACATGCTGTTGGGCAAATGGGATAGACAACAGGTGGAAATTATAGGCAATTAGCAAGACACCCACAATAAAGGAGTGGTTCTGCAGGTGGTGACCACAGACCAATTCTCAGGTCCTATGCTTCATGGCTGATGTTTTGGTCACTTTTGAATGCTGACGGTGCTTTCACTCTAGTGGTAGCATGAGACGGAGTCTACAACCCACACAAGTGGCTCAGGTAGTGCAGCTCATCCAGGATGGCACATCAATCAAGCTGTGGCAAGAAGGTTTGGTGTGTCTGTCAGCGTAGTGTCCAGAGCATGGAGGCGCTACCAGAAGACAGGCCAGTACATCAGGAGACGTGGAGGAGGCCGTAGGAGGGCAACAACCCAGCAGCAGCACCGCTACCTCCGCCTTTGTGCAAGGAGGAACAGGAGGAGCACTGCCAGAGCCCTGCAAAATGACCTCCAGCAGGCCACAAATGTGCATGTGTCTGCTCAAACGGTCAGAAACAGACTCCATGAGGGTTGTATGAGGGCCCGACGTCCACAGGTGGGGGTTGTGCTTACAGCCCAACACCGTGCAGGACATTTGGCATTTGCCAGAGAACACCAAGATTGGGAAATTCGCCACTGGCGCCCTGTGCTCTTCAGGTTCACACTGAGCACATGTGACAGAGTCTGGAGACGCCGTAGATAATTTTCTGCTGTTGGCAACATCCTCCAGCATGACTGGTTTGGCAGTGGGTCAGTAATGGTGTGGGGGGGCCACACAGCCCTCCATGTGTTCGCCAGAGTTAGCCTGACTGCCATTAGGTACCGAGTTGAGATCCTCAGACCCCTTGTGAGACCATATGCTGATGCGGTTGGCCCTGGGTTACTCATAATGCAAGACAATGCTAGACTTCATGTGGCTGGAGTGTGTCAGCAGTTCCTGCAAGACAAAGGCATTGATGCTATGGACTGGCCCGCCCGATCCCCAGACCTGAATTCAATTGAGCACATCTGGGACATCATGTCTCACTCCATCCACCAACGTCACTGTGCACCACAGACTCACCAGGAGTTGGCAGATGCTTTTAGTCCAGGTCCAGGAGGAGATCCCTCAGGAGACCATCTGCCACCTCATCAGGAGCATGCACAGGCATTGTAGGGAGGTCATACAGGCATGTGGAGGCCACACACACTACTGAGCCTCATCAAAGTTTTAAGGACATTACATCAAAGTTGGATCAGCCTGTAGTGTGTTTTTCCACTTTAATTTTGAGTGTGACTCCAATTCCAGACCTCCATGGGTTGAAAAATTTGATTTCCATTTTTTAATTTTTGTGTGATTTTGTTGTCAGCACATTCAACTATGTAAAAAACAAAGTATTTCAGAAGAATATTTAATTCATTCAGATCTAGGATGTGTTATTTTTGTGATCCCTTTATTTTTTTGGAGTAGTGTATTTACAAACTTCTCAATCTGTAGAGAAAGTAGGGGGTGAAAGAGAGCTGGAAACACAGCCAGCAAGCAGCAGCACTAAGAGGGCGAGGGGGGGAAGAATCATAGGGCCGTGGCTGCAGGAGCGCGTGGGAGCTGACGCTGCTCCAACTAGATGGCTGCCGTGGCAAGCAGGCCAATGTGTTCCGGGAGACGCGGAATGAACGCCACGAGCGGAGAAGCTGCTCATGTGTGGCCAGGAAGGTGGCAGAGACCCGCAAGGGGCTAGAAAGGGAATGTGGGACCAGGGATTCAGTGCGGCAATGACTAGAAAGGCGCCATGGACGCACTATGGGTGGCAGGGAGGAAGCCCCTTTGTAAGCCCCAGGAACAGAGAGCAGCTCAGCACAGAGGAATCCCATATAACTGAAACACCAAAATACAGTATCCCAAGTAACAAGAGAAATAAGCAATATTTAATCTGCAAATACAGTAGAATATAGAAAAAAAAACGCAAATACAGAGAAAATAATTCAATAAGAACCCAGAGCAGACAAACTTTCTGAGTTGGGGAATTCTCACCATTCACACAGCCAAAAGCTAGACCGGATAATAACCAAACATACTAAACTAAATACAGCTTAGAAATCAAGGCAAAAATGCAGCATATAGTAATACATGAGCAATAAAGCAATAAACAGGAGCAGCAGCAAAGAAAGCGGACGTGGGAGAGTCTGTCTGAGAGTTTTATATTACTGTTCTTTTTCTGATTGGTTGTTTCCTGAAAGTTATGGTAACTATTTCTTTGCTGCTGGAGGTTTCAGTAAAGACGGTAAAGCAAATATGAAGCCTCCTGTCTTTCCATAAGATGTAAATGTTGTTCCTGTAGAACATTGTTTAATCTAGGTAACCAGTATTAAATTGTAGATGTACTTTTTTTTAAATATATTTTTCAGCATCCACAACAGACCACAGTGACTTTGACTGCTTCATCTGTGTGTTCTTGAGCCATGGAGAAGATAATCAAGTGTATGCTTATGATGCAAAGATTGAAATCCAGAGGTTGACTAGTCTATTCAAGGGTGACAAATGCAAGAGTTTAGTGGGGAAGCCAAAGATTTTTATAATCCAGGTAACTATATGTCCTATCATTAAGAAGTATTCATATGCTTAATATTTTCTATGCTTCTGTGATTCTCAATACCCATTAAAAAAAAAAGTCTGTATAGGGCAATGTGCATATTTTATTTAAGGGACACTATAGTCACCAGAAAAACTACAGCTTATTGTATTTGTTGTGGTGAGTAGAATAATTCCCTTCAGGCTTTTTTTGCAGTAAACACTGTATTTAACACTGGCCGCTCCTCTGCATGGACACACTGAACTTTCCTCATACAGATGCATTGATTCAATGTATCTCTATGAGGAGATGATTATCCAGGGATGTGTCGGACTTGTGCTGGCTCTGCCCGTGATCTGCGTCCTTGACACTCTCAGCCAATCCTATTGGAAAGCATTGTGATTGTCTCAGACAACCACTTCTGATGATGTCAGCAGACAGAGGCAGTTCAGAGACAGACAAGGGCAGAGCCAGCAGCTGCAGACTTGAATACAAATAAGATTTTACTATATTTAGGGAGGCAAGAGAGTCCTAGGGGGCTAGATGTTGGTTTTAACATAATGGGGTCAGGAATACATGTTTGTTATCTTGACCCTATAGTGTTCCTTTAATCGGCTTAGAGTACTCTTATTGCACCACCCTTAAGATAATATAAAAACGTAACAAGAATCCAGGTCCAGGCAAAGTTCTTAGTGAACCGCTCCTCGCTACTTCAAGATCAGGGTGCTGTCTGCATAGTGTGCTTTTAGTTTACCAGGCTGCATGATTGGCAAGAAGCCTGACATGCATTCACACCACACTGACATTCCAGTTCTTTGGGCAGTTCTGGTTAGGTGATTTGGAGGCCGGGCCCCAAAATTTCTGATTGCAGCGCTGTAGGTACATGATGCTGGGAAGGTATGACTGTTTTAGAGTTTTTTTTTTGTTCGATAAGATTCTGTAATTAGGCTCATCGTAATTGTCAGCACCATGCCCAATGGGCTCTAATCTGGCCCTGATGTGCATGTATATTTTATTCTACACAAAATGTAAAAAGGTATGTGGTAATGCACCTGGCTTTTATTTCAGGAAACAATAACATTTATAGAAACAAAAATTACCTTAATTTCTCAGTTAAATAGTTTTTATTGATGTCTTCTCCTTCTAAAGGCTTGTCGGGGAAATCAACATGATGAGCCAGTCTTGGCAACGGATAGTACGGATGGTGTTATCGACGTCCCTGACACCAATGTAATTGAAGTGGATGCTGCATCCGTGTACACATTGCCTGCTGGTGCCGACTTCATTATGTGTTACTCTGTAGCAGAAGGTAACATAGTTTAATTGTATTTCTTCCAGCAATTTAGGACTGTCAGTACTAATATCTATCTATCTATCTATCTATCTATATCCTTGATCAGGGTTTCACAAATTTGTTTGGAATCTAGGAGCCAGTTTAATTTACGAGAAATATACAATTCTAATAGGGACACTATATATAGTCACCAGAACCACTACAGCTTAATATAGTTGTTCTGGTGCGAATGGCCTGTCCCTGTAGTCTTTTCAATGTAACATTGCTACCTAGTAAAACCTCTAGTGACAATCACTCAGAGGGCCGCTAGAGAGTCCTGTGGCAGTTCTGCACAGTGTGCAGCATCTTCGTTCAGCGTCTCTACGCTGTGCATGGAGGTGCTGAATGTTACCTGTAGAGAACATGCACAATATCTTTCCAATGTTTTCCAATAGAAAAACATTGGTTTAGCTGAGATCTTAAAGACTGATTATCTCCACCATGAAGGCAGGACAAGCCGCGGAAAACTGGCACGGCGTGGGAAAGAAGGTGAGTAAAAACACCAATCTCTTGATCGGAGGGGTGTAGATATCGAAACACACACGCGCACACACACTGACATACATACGTACATACACACACTCTGACATTTTCCATGTTAATTTTAATCCACCCAGCCTCCCTACCTTTGGGAGAGCTGAGTGGATCTTTCCCTGGAGTCCAGTGGGGCTGCTATTCCTGTATGCGAGGGAGCAGGGATCTTCCTACAGCTCCTGTCTGCTCCCTCACACTGTCTGCAGTGACGCCAGGGCCGGAATGATGTCTTGTTCCGGCTCCCGGTATCAATACACAGTGCAAGGGAGCAGAGAGGAGCTTCAGGAAGAACACTGCTCCCTTGCGCGCTGTCCAAGCCTGCCGTCTCCACGATCCCCAGGGCGGCTGCCTGCGCGCTTCCTGTGCCGCCCGCGCGCTGCTCAGAGTGACCGGCCTGCTCCATTGTTCTCCCATACTGCCTTTAGCTAAAGGGCTTCAAATACCAGGCACCAGGGCAAAATTTCTAGTAGTCATTGTGACCTGGAACTTGTCGAGTCCTGCCATTGTTTTGGATTCTAAAGTAAACTTACTCATTCAAGTATTTGGTAATATGTGATGGGTTAAACTGAAAATGTGGCCTTAATCCACTCAAAGATGTCTATCTCAATTAAAGCATTTGTTTTGCAATGTCTTCCTGTGAATTGATGGATTATGAAAATGTTCTTGACATGTATATGACAATCTATGCATTTTGCATTGCTTATGGTGATAGTGTCTTCCCTGTCTCTGGATGTCTTCTGTTTAAGGCCTATATGTGGCATCTGGACACATTCTGTGGCTTGAAGGGTTTCTCTAACCATTTTAGGAGTCAAATCACTTTTTCCCAGCCTACATGGAATTTTTTTTTTTCATTTCAATCAGAACACTTCTCAATTTTCTTACCGTTTTGGTGCAGGGCTGTTTTTACATTTCTGTTTGTGTTTAGCTGTAATTTTCCTCTTACTCATTTACTGTACCCGAAACATATACCGTTTTTCTCGCCATTAAATGGTCTTTCTAAAGATACCTATATTTCTATCATATCATATAATTTACTATAAAGAAATTTTATAAAATATAATTCAAAATAAAAAAACACAAACAAAAAAACACTTTAGTACTTTGACCCCCAAAATCTACATCCGCCAAAAAACACCCATGCTAAATAGTTTCTAATTTTTTTTCCTGAGTTTAGAAATACCCAATGTTAACATGTTCTTAGCTTTTTGTTTTGGAAAGTTATAGGGCAATAAGTACAAGTAGCACTTAGCTATTTCCAAACCATTTTTTTTTTTTTTTTCAAAATTAATTAAAGTTACATTGTAACACTAATATCTGTCAGGAATCCCTGAATAACCCTTCACATGTATATATTTTTTAAAAGAAGATAACCTAAGGTATTGAACTTGGGATATATGGACTCCTTTTCATGCAACCATTTAACCACCAATCTATGCCAAATTTAAAGAAATAAAATATTTAGAGTTCTCCGTACATGCATTCTTAAATTACTATGTGTCAAAAAATAAATAAAAAAATTACTAAGGTTTACTGCCAAAGGACACTCCAATATGTGTTCAGCAACATCTCCTGAGTACAGGAATGCCCCCCCCCCCAATGTATAGGTGTGTCGGGTTCTCTGGGGGCTAAAATACCTTATTTGGAGGGTGTGCATTCCAGTTTTCCAACTTGGAATTTTCACAGCTGGTCATCATGCACCCATGTCCCATTTGGGACATTTTTGAAGCCAGCCAATGTAATTTACCCCCATCAAACCATATCTTTTTGAAAAGTAGACACCCTAGGGCAGGCATAGGCAACCTTTGATATTCCAGATGTTTTGGACTGCACCTCCCATGATGCTTTGCCAGCATTATTGGTGTAAGAGCATTCTGGGAAATGTAGTCAAAAACATCTGGAGTGCCGAAGGTTGCCTATCCCTGCCCTAGGGTATTTCAAATGGTGGTATTTTAACACTTTCCATGCACTAATTCTACCACAGTCTTTATCAGACTTTTGGGTAGTTGTTTTTTTTTTTGTTTTGTTATTTTTCTCTCACATTGTACTTTAGGCATGGATTCTCAGTTCCTGTTATGTGTTACTGACAAAGAATACCCCAATATGTTTTCAGCAATATCTTCTGAGTACAACAGTGCCCGCAATGCACAGGTTTTTGCAAACTTACAGGGGTCAAATGTAGGGTTTTCCCCTTTTCCATGTTTGCACATTGACATTTGCCAGATTGGTTTGCTGGGCCTATGTTGCCTTTGAGACCATATAGCAGCCCAGGAATGAAAATGAACCCCATCATGGCATACTATTTGTAAAAGCAGACAACCCACGGTATTCAAAATGGGGTATGTCCAGTCTTTTTTTTGGTAGCCACAAATGCTGGCCAAAGTTAGGGTTTTTATTTGTTTTTTGAATTTTATTTTACAGAAAACTGCGTTTTTACTGGTGATTTCATCATCGTGATAAGTTTTAAACACTCATATTTGTGTTCAGCGAAGTCCCCCAACTATAACGGTAACCCCCCATGTACAGGTTTTATGGTGTTTTTGAAAGTTTACAGAGTCAGTATAAGGCTTGCCCAATTCAGTTTGCCAAATTGGTTTGCTGGGTCTGTGTTGCCTTTTGAGACCATATGGTAGCCCAGGAATGTGAAATAACCCCATGGCATACCATTTTCAAATGTAGACAAACCAGGGTATTCAAAAAAGTTAGCATTTTTATTCATTTAAAAAAAAAATGTTTTTCCCAATTTACGGCAATATACCTCTATATATTGCCTAGTGGTTAGATAACACATAATTAGCAATACACAGCTTAGTCAATAGCACCAGTCGGTTGTGGTGTGCCGGAACAGACAATGCAGTAGGCCTGTAATAAAGAGGGCAAAAAGAAGTGTACCATACAAATATATATATTCTACAATACCTCAATATTACTTGGATATGACACGAGATGCCTGATGAATCCCTAACCGGTTCAGGTATAGGAGGATGATGTCCGTCTGTGATTTGTGGAGTAGTCCCGGCTCTAAGGGATGCTGGACTATCTGTGTATACTTGGCAAGATACAGCCCAGACCTGCAGTGGTGTTGGGTAGAGATGGTAACCCAATGATTTGGGAACTCGAGACTTACGATTTATACAAAGCCACCATTAGTATTATCCATATAACATACCGGCAGGCTAGCTATTGCCAAGTGGCGAAGAATTCAACTAATGAGGGTGACAGGTGAGTCCCTGCTAGTTGTCAAGTCGTATGAGAGGCTCTATCTATGCATTGGCCCGAGGGGAGGTAGTGTCGGGATCCCGCGGGTGGCTGCGAGGGGAGGCTGCACTCCGCTTGCGGTACTCACCCTCCAGCCGTCCGCGGTCCCCTCCTCCTCGTGGGTCCGGCGAGCGGCATCCTTCCAGCCTCGGATGCCGCCGGCCGTTCCCTCCACGTCCCCCAGCGGCAGCATACATGACGCTGCACGCTGGGAGACCGCCCAGGTTTATACACGCCGGGGTCAGTCACCTGACCCGGCATTAAAGGCACAGTGCCTTAATCACAGTGGGAGGTCTAGATATCTCCCGCGTGTGATTGTTAATTCTGATTGGAAATTATCCAATCAGAATTAACCTTATGGTTTAAATACTTACCTTTCCTGTTCCTCCCTGCCCTGTTGTGGTCTTTGCTTTCTAGTATTGCTACTTACCTTGTGCTTCTGGTTACGTACTCTCTGGCTTGTTTATCTGACTCTGTGACTTTCTCCTACCCTTTGACCTCGGCTTGTTTCACGTTATTCTGTCTTCTGGTTCCCCTTACTCGGCTTGTCTCCTGACTATTCTGTGTGTGCTTAGCCCGGCCACTCTAAGGTCTGGTACGGCACCTTTTGTGTGTGTGTGTGTGTCAGCGTGTTGGGTTCCCCGAATCGTGACAGGTAGAGGCCACCGAAACGTAAGTGGCGGGGTGATGGCCTCTCGGTGACTACTAAAGCATAAGATAGAATGGGAGTGACAGGTGAGGACCTCCCTATGCAGCAAAGCGAGGCAAATATGGCGTCATCCTCAGAGTATGAGGGGTACCTCCAAGTATGACGACTGGTATTGGCCTCGCGGGACCACTAGACTATGGCATAGAGGCCAGAAACCTACCATAGTGGGCACTTAGATCCCTAACAACCAGCACTTATCTGCTAATAGGGGACCTCAGTGTGGGCCAGATCATGGACCCAGCTAGACTGTGGACCCCTTTAGAATGGTGACTAAGAACGTATGCCCCTGTGTGGGCCAAATAGTGGATCCGTGTAGAACCGTGACCGGGAACGTATAATTGTAAATTATACTAGCTTTAATGTAACTATAATCTTAATTATATTAATGACAGGAAGCGAATATTTGCTTAAGTCTCTTTCCTAGAACTCCACACTAGCACATTAACACAGGAAAAAAACAACCACTCAGAAAAACATAAACAAAGGTCCCCTCCCAACCAACTACTTTCTCTTTTAATCTGTAACAAAACAAACAGAAGCAAACATATCCATCTAGTAGTAGTAGTAGTAGAAGTAGTCAAACAAAATCAACAGACGACCTCCATCCAGTACCCTAAACCGAACGTGGAGCCGTAGATGAACCATTAAACTTTATTCAGACGCAAGTCTTGAACGTGGATCTGTAGACGAACCATTAAACTGAAACAAGTTACAGAGTCAAAAGCTCCGGTTAGTGAACGAAATGTACTGTGAAAACATGAAGACCCCATAATCAACTACAGACAGTACAATATCTATAAAGTCTCACCCCGACATCCCTCAGGAAGGCAAAACCACTGACCTACCTATTCCTAGTTCTGAAGAACAAACTATCAACTAGAGGTGAATAAATAAAACAAAATTAACATGGGTAGGGTGAAACTGGGAGGAAAATATTCGCCACCTATCCTTAATAAAATTAAGATTATAAATATACTAAAGCTAGTATAATCTACAATTTTATAACATGACAGGAGGCTTCATATTTACTGTTTTAATGCTCAGATAGCACAGTCTGAAATAAAAATAGTGGAAAGCGTCCCCCCGGGACCAGTCAGTTGATCGCAGGATGTCTTGGAGAGAGTCGCCCTCGAGGAAGGAGTCCGAAGCCGCCGCGCTCCTAACTAAATCCACTCCGACGGTCGAATTAATGCTCGCCAATGATGACAACCACAAAATTCACCGTGTCAGGGTAGGAGAAAAGACCGGTGTGTGAGGTCTATCATAAGAGATCAATAATTGGTTGGAACTGGACAGGCGAAGCGAAGAACTAAGTGTCACCTAGTGAGACGGAGCAGTCACTACACCTAGCATAGGGGAGTCGTGGAAATATGGGTAGAATACAGTTGTCGAACCCGACTGGTACGCCTAGACACCGCGAAGGTGACCTCCTGGGGAGAAAGAAAAGCGTCGACATCGAAGGTCCGGACTCTGGAGACTTGACTAAAAGAAATTAGGCAGAGTAGGAAAAACAAAATCAGTCGAAAACTGACGGAGGGAAAAGTCTCTCGAGTATCAGGCGAAACCTGGAGAAGTGACAAGACCGTGTGTATGTCCCAGAGACCGTGAAAGTCTCATGCCTCGGAGAAATCTGCAAACCCGCAGGTGCAAGAAGTAAGTTCAGAACACTGGTAACAGGGCCCGTAAAGGGATCAGTATCCCATTCCAGGCACCAACGACACCAGGAGTTCCATGCTAACAAGAAGCATCACTTAGTTCCAGACCGCGATAATGTATTGACCTTCCAGGTTCCCCTGACTGTGTCCAGGCCACTAAACAGAGGTGGCCATCCACCACAAGGGGTTGAGGATCGCCCCGGAAGTCCGAGAGGAGCATTAGTGGGGATGGTGGAAGGAGTGGATCCTGATGGGTTAGATCCAGAAGTCCCGAAAACTAGGCCTGACTCCGCAATACCAAAGATACGCGTTGATGGCGAAACTGCAGTCGGACCCTGGAGATCATAGCAAACGGAGGAAACGTATAAAGTCCCTGTGACGTTCACACATGAAGGAAAACAACCACCGCTGCGCAAGCCAGATCCAGAAGCCAGCTGAAGTAGGTCGGGACCTGATAGTTGTCTTGAAAGCGAAAAGGTCAACCACGGACTGACCTCTCCGGGCCGTGATCTTGAGGAACATGGGATGTAGGAGTCTCCAAACGCTGGCATTCCTCCAATGTCCGGAGGACCAGTCCGCCGTCAGGGTCAACACCCCCGGAAGCTATCCCGCCTGGAGAGTGATGTTGCTTTGGAAGCAGATACTGTAAATCTCCTTTGTCACCTCAGAAAGCATCTGGGAGCGAGCTCCATCCAGGCGGTTGATGCATATAGTGTGGCGAAACCAACCTCGCCACTGGGCATTGGAGAAGCCTGTTTGCCTGCCTGCTGACTATGGCCCCTGGGAGATTTGGCCCTTTAAATACAGTATTTGGGCATATTGTATTTTATTATGCTGCTGCTGGCCCTTTAAGAACCATCTGGGGACATACTGTGGAGTTACTGGGTGGCCACCATTTCATGTATCAGAGGCACATGGTGAGAACAATGGATGGCGGCCATTTTAACTCACAGACACTGTTTGGACTTTTCTACATGGTGCCATCTCGCCAGTATTTGGTGCACAAAGACATTGTTCAGTAGTTTTAAACTATAAAACAGGGGACACATTATACAGTAATTATTTTTCATATAGCCTGTATATGTTCTGCGGAATCTGCATTAAACTGCATCTTCCAAACTACTGAACGGATCTGGGTGAATTTTGGATATGTGGTTCACCCAGATCCCCCGGTTCAGAGGATATTTTATGGGGTTATTGCATGTTTTGGGGTCCCTGTCATATGTTTTATAATACTGTATTTCTCTGCTTGTGATAATTATATTAACCATTGTGTTCAGTAATCATATCACAGGCAGAGGGGAGGATTTTGTGTGGGAGTGTCTGTGTGTATTGTACGGATTGATTGGTTGTATTTCAAAACCTTGTGGGCAGTACTATGTTTTTAGAATGTGAATAAGAGAGGCTGTATGTGCCAGTACAGTCAGTTCTGCTTGACCTCAAAACGAAGTGTTGTCTCGTTACTGGGGAAACTGCTACAAGGAATTGCTATGCTAGTCATACGCCCTTGCTGTATCACTACTAAGCTCTTGTAAGAGCTTGTTCTGTCTTGCTCTCTGGAGGAGTCTACAGTGGTTAAGGTGTCTGCTCTCTGGAGGAGTCTACAGTGGTTAAGGTGTCGGCTGGAGTGCTTGGAGCCCTCAGGAAGCACTAGGTGCATCCTTCAACGGAGGTACCCAGTCGGGGTGCCAGGTGATCCGTTACACATAGCACCGCCGAAATATTGTCCATCCCGAAGAGATTGCCGTAATCAGAAAGGTGACTCGCCAGGCTCCGAATCGCGAACGACCCCGCAACCAATTCCAGACAGTGTATGTTGAATTCCGACCCATCTCCAAATTGACAAGAATACTCGGTCGTAGAATGGTCTGCGCGGAGAAAGTGAGCCTTCGGGCGTTGTATGGCCCTGTAGTGAAGCAAACCCGGGTAGCTCGCCAGGATCGATACAGAGAGGAGGCCCACCATACGCGCCCAACATCCTCAGTGGAATCCGGTCTTGACGTAGTATCCTCCATAATTCCTTACAAATGTTTGAGAACTCAGATGGGGAAGGCATTGGAGGCACTCCCTTGTGTCTAATCTGAAACCCCAGAATTTGACTACCTGTGATGGAGAGAGGGCTGATTTTTCCCTGGTTGTCCACGAAACCTAGGGACTCTAATAAGGAGACCGCAGAGCGCGTCTGACATTTCAGCCTGGAGGGCTCCTCGCAAAAGACCAGCAGATCGTCCAGGTAGATCATACAGCGGATGCCCTCTGATTGGAGACACGACTGAGTCCAACCACATGGGAAAACACCACGGAGCCGAGCTGAGACCAAACGGGAGGAATGTGAGTTGGCGAAGAGGTAGCCATCCTTCAGATCCACGTGAACCAATCTCCTGGGCGGAGGAGGTCCTGCAGGAGGTGGAAGCCCTCTACCTTGAAATGTCGGCAAACGACTAAGGCGTACAGGTTTCCCAGATTGCACACCGGATGGAAATCCCCGGGTGACTTCTCCACAAGAATAATGGTGCTTAAGAATTCCCTGTCGTCCAAAATCCACCAGACAGGGGACCCTGGAGGGGTGAACCTGCATCGGCGGGGATTGATGTGGGTATCCTTGTTCGTCTGCGAGTCCGGCTCCCTCCACTGTGGTCCGATTAATGTGAGTTGAAACCCGGGGGCGGTAGGACGTGAAGACCCCCTGACTTGGGTTCACGTCCGGTATGTGTCATGAACGTGGACACGATGGGGTCAAATTCCGGGGACAGGGCAACCTCCCTGGGATCCTTGATGTCCTGATGGCCAGAAGTGGCTGGCAACACAACTCCGCTGTCGTCCAGCTCCGGCAAAACACAGGAGCCTTGTGCGCGGAAGACCCATTTCTTTGAGGACCGTGTTTTGATCAATGCAATGAACAGGTTCACGTTCTTGTGCAGTTTTGTGATGAAAGGCTCTCCGAAGCGTAGACCCTTGGCTAGGGGTGCCCAGGTCCTTTTATCCCAAGTCCAACAGCTTGGTGTCCATGTGTAAGAGGACTGCTGTCCTATGCACGGTGCAGAGCGCTGCGTTAGTATTGCCCAGCCTGCAAATGGAGTGCAGAGCCCAGTCTCGTATGGAAGCTGGGTCCAGGGTAGCACCCTTTGAATAAGTCTCGTCCTCCATCATGAGTATTCCGGGCCAGGAGCCCAGCACTTCCAACGGTCAAACCTATTGTAACGGAACCGCTGGCACCCCGACCGGGTACCTTCCGCCGACGGATGCTCCTAGTGCTTTCCGAGGACTCCAAGCACTCTGCCTGACACCATAACCGCTGCAGACCCCACGAACCGCCGCAGCTTGGTTGGGATCTCGCCGTCTCCACCCACTCTGGACCCAGGGTCCAGCTTCCAGCAGGTCGACCTCTCTCCGAATTCCAGAGAGCAGGAACAGGAACAAGCTCTTAGCAGAGCTTAGTGATTATACCCTGGGGAGTATAGTGATTATAGCAATCCCCAGAGTGTAGTTTCTCCAATCCCCCAAACATGAGCCGAAACTTCATGAAGGTACAAGATGATCTGACTCCAATGAGCGTTTATTACTGCTTATATACAAGTTTTCAGGTCAGAGGCACACCCCCTGGACCTGGTGGTAAACTGTGACAAAAGGGACACAAACCAATGGGAACACTAATTAACATGATAACACTCTCACATACACAATGAAATCCCTCCTCTCCATCCTGGAGATAATTGGCTTAAGGCACTGCAGTAAACTCAATTATCTCCAGGTACAGAAAATATCTACATTTAACACTAACAGCAAAAATACGTAAAAGTACATAAAAATACATAATTCTTATTTTATTACACAGAACCCCCACATTTAACCTATCCCCAGATAGCTCGGATCTGAGCGCCCAATCTAGGTGAACAATAGACAGGAAACGGGGGAGGGGAAGAAACACACCTTCCCATGGATTCCAATGGGAAGAAACTGTCTTTAGAAGCCAATAAGCCCCAAATAGTCTTTTTTAAATGGCAATACACCCCAGGGCCATAGTCATGAGGAAGGAGGCTGGCAATCAGGCTCCTCCAAAAGCCGGGGGCAAAGGGCAGCTTGTCACCTAACAATCCAGGGACAAAAGGCATTTCGTCACACCTATGCCAGGCTGAGGCAACGTGCAACCCCTTGACTTGGGGTCACGTCCGGTATGTGTCATGAATGTGTACACGATGGGGTCAAATTCCAGGGACAGATCAACCTTATCCCGTAACCACCGGCCTGGGGCATTCTGCCCATAAATTCTTCCATACCCCCAGACCAGAGGCCTGCAGACCCAATAGTGCATGAACTGTGCCAGGTGATCGAGTTAAGATTCATTTGGGGATCTGGGCATCCAATGGGCCGCTGGCCGAACCGGGGTTCGCCTGTTGCGTCCAAGAATACATTGTCCTCCAGCCTAGAGGTGGGTGTTCCTTGCGTAGAATGACCCTCGAATTTGCGGGGCCACGTAGTGTTGTCCAGCTCATCCTCGCCCCACCTGACTTCCCTGGACTGTCTGTCATCCATCCAAGATGGCCAGGGGCGGTAAGGGGTCCTCCTCCCCCTCATCGGAGAGACGTCTCTATCTGATCGACGAGTCTGAGGTCACAGGACCCTGTCATTGTGCTGGAGTCTTGCCCTTTTGGGAACAAGGTTCAGGGCCTTCACCCTTCCCATAGTACTTGGGCGCTCTTGTCTGATGTCTCTTGGGAGAGTCTGATTCTACGGAGTCATCTGCCGTGAGCGTGTTCCCCTTAGAGCCCCTAACTTGAGGGGTTCACAGAAGGGCCCTAGCCAGGCATGGGATATGCTTGCAAGGTGATGCACAGGGACAAAGGCAGAATAATAGGGGCAGCACCCCAAATTTGTGTCCAAGGCAAGATACAGCGCCCGCAACATGTATGCATACTTAGATGGGTAGCCAAACCAGGGTCATCCCATGGCTGGGGCACAGACAGCGCAGGCCAATCTTGGGGCACAGACAGCGCAGGCCAATCTTGGGGCACAGACACTGCAGGCCAAATGCATGTGATGCGCGGGCATGATGTATGATCCGCTGAATATGGCAGAATATATTGTGGGCAAATGTGGGCACAATGTCTGTAAAACAAAACAAGACAGACTGTATTTCATCTGCCCAGAACAATGGGTAAAACCAAACTGATAAGTTAACCACACAGAGAACAAAGTGTTAACTGCATAATAGTATGGTGACAACCTAGCATACAATTCCCAGCTCCATAATACCCTATACATGCGTATGCTCCAACTATGGAGCAGAACAAAGAGGGAACAAGGACACGTGGTGTGCAACTCCATGGCTAATGCCTCCCGTGTGTAAACGCACGGAGCCAGGAGGTGGACCGGAGTGAAGCCGGGAGCCGTCGCTCCGACGTGGCCGTGTAGTGCTCACTGGCACGGTGGAAAAAAAACCCCCAGCACTAGTTAACCCAAACGCCCGACCGGAGCAAGGGAGGGTACCTAAGGCAGACCGAGAGCTGCTGCTCCCATGTGGTAGGCCTCTTACACTTTGCCGCACACGGGTCCCAATACTGGAAGTTATTTTCCCGCAGCCCGGCGACTGGGAAGGTAGGCGATGTGAAGAGAGGGGAAAGGCCCAGGTGATGTGTCCCGAGCAGCAGCACAAGGCCAACTGCTGTGGGACACAACATGTGGGACCACTGGAGACGTTCTCCGCGGCCCCGGCGTGCGTGCGATCTTAGGAGGCAGCTAAATGGCAGTCTCCCCCGACGTCTGCGTAAAAGAAAAGCCCACAGATGGCGAAAAATTAAGAGGAGAAGGGAGAGAGAGCCTGGTTAGCACCCAGGCAGTGAAGGCATTAAAGAAACATCAGCTAAAGGAAGGCATATAGGCAGAAAATATACACAGGATCTCTAACCAAATAGACACCAAGTATACACAAAAGATACCCAAATATAAACCATATATATGAGAGATACACCCTAAATATACAATATATGTAAATATATATATGCACAATAAGTACAAGAAATATACACCCTATATACACACAAATATATATAATTCCATTAAATCCCACAGCCACCCACTAAGAGCAGGAGGCAGTGGTACTCTGACCTGTGCTTGATGGGGAGCAGCAAAGAAAGAGGAAGTAATTGGTTGGGAGGGGACCTTTATTGTTTCTTACTTTTTTCTGATTGGTTATTTTTTCTGTGTTAATGTGCTGGTGTGGAGTTCTAGTAAAGAGAGACTTAAACAAATATGAAGCCTCCTGTCATGTTACAAAATTCAGAATGGGCCAGATCGAGGACCGAAATAAGAGAAAGTGACCTACCCCACTGGTGGACACGAGGTAAGAAAGGCAAACGCTGCCAGGAAGGATGAGCTTCTTGGCAGGACAACGGTTAGACAAACATGTCACCCAGATAAGTGAAACCCGGGTATAAACCAAAGAGTAGGGAAACAGGAGAGTATAGGAACATGGCAAAAAGAAGTACAAAATGTGCCCATCCCAGAAAAGACAAGAGGTGCAGAACCATCCAGCGATCCAGGTCAAGGGACAGAGACCCAATAACAAGAGCATACCAGCGAGCACGTTAGAGGCGCAAGAGAGCAAACCTCAACACCGAAAACACCAAATAAGTGAAAGGGACAGGCATACACCAGACGAGCGAGCACGGGCACACCAGACAGTAAAACGAAACGCAGAATCATAACAGGCAATCATACCCTACGGAGAGTCACTAGAAAATAGCAAAATACACGCAGCCGAGTCACACATACCAGCAATACAATGACAACCAACTATCAGTACAGTAAGTGACATACCTTAATATTGTAACATGTGCAAGAACTAAGCACCCATGACACAACCGGATTGTGAAACGAGAAAACATAATGCTCCTGAAACATACAACATGCAAAATCACTTTTTTACATGTCCGTGATTTGCATGAAAGGTTACACTTCCAAAACAGAAGATAAATCATGGGGGATAACAATTACACACCATAAGGGAATACATCACATACACTGAACCAAAGTGTATACCATTCCTAGGCTGCATTACTTAAAGGATCACTAGAGTCAGGAAAACGGGTTTGTCATCCTTGGGAGGACCCTCACTGTCAGGGTCCCACTCCCGTGGCGCTGAAGGGGTTAAAACCGCCTTACGCCACTAACCTTTATCCAGCGCCGTGCTCCCTCTGCGCTGGTCACCTCTCTTCCGCCGCCGACATACGCTTCCGAGTGGAGCGGAATGCGCATGCGCAGCAAGAGCCGCACACGCATTCTAACAGTCCATAGGAAAGTATTTCTTATTTCTTTCCTGTGGACGTTCTGCACGCTGGATGCGAATTTCGCACCTAAGGGAGGTGGCACCCAGACCACTTCATTGAGCTGAAGTGGTCTGGGTGACTATAGTGTCCCTTTAACTAACGCCCCAGAGGTCCAACCAATAAACAGACTGGTGATGGCAAAACCTACCAGCAGGCAGAATACCGAGAGTGCTAAATCCCATACCAGCTGAGTTCCACGCTAGTGGCAAACACCATACCAGCAGACTGAGCACCAGAAGAGAGGTAGACCTCCCAGCAAGGGTGCCAGAGGTCAGCCAAGGCAGGTAATGGACCCAGGGAGCTGCGGGCGACAGCAGTCGGCATGTGGGGAGTCACAGCTGCAGGCGAGAGGCGCAGCCAAGTACAGGGGGACCAGGCGAGTTGGAAGGGACCCGGGCCCCCAGACCAGATGGCATGCCGAGAAGTACCCAGCAGGCAAACACACTGAGTAGAGAGCAGATCTCATGGAACAGACAGGCGCTCGGCAGCGGCAGGAGCTCCATGAGGCGATGGAACATGGAAACCACGTGGGAGGTCACAAACCTGAAGAAAAGCGGGCAGCAAGCCAGGAGACTGGACCAAGGATACAGGTAAGTGGGTGAAAAGAACAGAAACTGTACATAAACATTTATAAAACATCATAATACACATGCAATGAGCCCAATAAAACGATGTGTTGGAAGATAGAATCAAAACGGGAACGAGGCCTCTAGAATGCCACAGTGGCTAAACAAGCTAAAGGCCGTACATAATACATAGGAAAAGACAGGAGATATAAGGCATACATTAAAAAGACCTATACCACCGGGGGCGCCACGATCACAAACATGTGAATATATTTACCACATCATAGTCATGAATATTCATGTAAAGAGATAGAAAGCAGAAAATATATAGTGAAGTATTTAATAACAATTAAAACAAAATAATAAAAAGCAAGTACACTCACAAGTATAGTTGCACAACAAGGACATATGTCTTAGTTGTGCTGAAAAGCTTTACAGCCCTTTCCTGGGCTAGAGTCCCTTCTTGTAGCAGGATCCCAGTATCCAAAGTTCTAAAGACTTCCAATGGTATTTCACTCGGAACTAGATATGATCCAAAAGCTGTAGTGGCACTGGCGATCTTCCAATTGCTCGACGCGTTTCGTCTAATTGACTTTCTCAGGAGCTGTATGTTTCTTCTTCTTCCGGCTTTTTAAATAATTGAGTTCGCGCGGCTTTCATTATTGCGCGCATGCGCATTACGGTAAAAGCTTTACCGCGCATGCGCGCACATCCAGCCTGGAACGCAAACAACTTTATTGATATTCTGTGCCAATGAACACATTTCCGTACTTGACCACCTGGTCTTACGGAATGAAATGTGGGCACTTAAACCTCATTTATATCAGTAATATACAATTCATCTAGTGCTAAAAACATGTTATGCATACACTTTATACTGAATTAAAAACATTAGAAATAAATTACATATTTCATCTTTAGAATTGCTAAAAATCTACAACTGAGAATAGAAGATTTACAAGAGATTAAAAATAATGATTAGACATACTATGGAGGGATAAAAGAGACATAATGTTACATTTTATACAATATTATGTATACAAAAGTGTTTTTCTTTTTCTTTATCTATATATAGCAAGCTATAGAGATGGTCATTTCGAGCTTAATAAAAACAATATGCAATAATGAACATTTTTATTTTAGTTTAACTGAGGGACATGGCGAAAACGTCAAAATCTTTTAAAATTACCATAAAAAATAATGATAATAATTACTAAAAAATATATAAAATTCAATAAAACTTCTATGGAAACAACAAAAAATTACCAAAAATTTATAATATTATAATATTAAAAAATAAATGGAAAGGAGCTTTCCAAAGGTCCTAAAATACTATAGAATTCAATCCATAAACACTAATAAATCCAGATCCACATTTAGACCTCTTGGAGAAGTGGTTTTAAGTTTGTGAATCCATTCTGTTTCTTTCATAGCTAGCGCTTTTTCCGTATCACCCCTTCTCCAATGGGGGATTATCGTATCAATACCTATACATCTAAAATCTTGGAAGCTAAAATGAGTACAATTTATACAATGTTTGGGAACACTATGTTTTATGTTCCCTCTTTTTATACCATTAAAATGCTCCAGGATTCTAATGTGTAGTTTTCTTATTGTACGACCTACGTATTGTATACCACATTTACATTCAAGAAGATAAATTACATTTTTCGTTTGGCAACTTATAAAATTCTTTATTTTAAAAACTTCTTTAGTGGCACTACATGTAAATTCTGTTGTCTTCTGTTTTTGGAATCTGCATGTGCTACACTGTCCACATTTAAAAAAACCTTTTGGTTTTTCTTTAAGAAAATTATTAACTTTATTACCAGAAGTAATTTCTTCTTTCATGGTTTTGATGCGAGGTAAAGCGCTTGGAGCTAAAATAGATTTAAAATTCTGGGTCTTTTTATAAATGATCTGGGGTTTTTTTGGTAAAATGTTCTTTAAAAATTGGTCTTGTTTTAAAATAGGCCAGAATTTCTTAATAGTTTTCTCTACCAGATGTGCTTTATTGTTATATCTAGTTAGAAAGGAGATGCTATAATCTTTCTTATTTTTCTTATGGGTCTTCCTATTTTTTAAAAGCATTGTTCTATCTTTATTTTCTATCTGTTTTTCTGAATTAGCCAATAGTTGTGATGGATAATGTCTTTTCTCAAATTTCTTATTCAGCATTGTAACTTGTTCTTTAAAGTCACTCTTATTGGTACAGTTTCTAAGGAGTCTTGTTTGTTGTCCCTTCGGTATATTATTAAGCCAATTCGGATGGTGACAGCTTGAATATTCTATGAAGCTATTCCCATCCGTTGGCTTGAAAAAGGTTTTATTACAAACAACTCCTGATGATATAAAAAAAGAAAGATCTAAAAAGTTAATACTTTCCAACTGAATTTCTGCCGTAAAACGTAATCCATATGTATTGTTGTTAATATATAATAAAAATTCTTCTAAAAGTGGCCTTTCTCCTTCCCAGATAATAAGGACGTCGTCGATATATCTTCTCCAGAGCACCAGGTTCGCACTATATGGGTTATTATTCCAAACATTCTTCGCTTCCCAATCTGCCACAAAAATGTTGGCATAACTGGGTGCGAACCTGGTGCCCATTGCTGTTCCACACGTTTGGAGGTAATATGTACCTTCAAACCAAAAGAAATTGTGAAAAAGGATAAAACGAATAATGTCTAAAATCAAAGTGGCTTGTGCTTTGTGCATATTTACATCCTTTCCCAAAATTTCTTTGATAGCCTTAATCCCTTTCTCATGATCAATCGACGTATACAAAGATACAACGTCTACCGTGGCCCAAATATAATTATCTTTCTACGTCAGGCCTTCTATATCTATAATGATTTGATTCGAATCTTTAATGTATGAGGGAGCTATTGGAACGTATTTCTGTAAAAAATGGTCTACGTATTCCGAAACGTTACTGGTCAAAGAGCCAATGCCACTAATTATTGGCCTCCCCGGAGGGTTAATAAGTGATTTGTGAATTTTTGGCAAATAATAAAATATAGCCATTTTAGGAAATTTAATAAAAAGATATTCAAATTCGTCCTTTTTAATAATATTTTTACTAAGACTTTCTGACAACAATTTAAAAAGTTCTTTTTTATATGTTTCCATAGGGTTAGATTTTAAAATAGTATATGTATCTTTATCATTTAAAATCCTGTGTGACTCCTTCAGATAGTCATCACGATTCAAAATAACTGTACCTCCTCCTTTATCCGCCTGTTTTATAACGAGTTCATGGTTATCTTTAAGTTGTTTTAACGCATTTTTTTCTTTTTTAGTGAGGTTCTCCTTTCCATTATTTTTTGTTATTGTTTCAAATTCATTTAGAACCATATCACTAAAAACCGGGATAAAATCTCCCTTTTCCCACGTTGGGAAAAACTTGGATTTGTGTTTTAAACCTGAATATAGAATTTGTGGAGATACAGATTCTATATTTTCTTTCTCTGTGTTATCGCCATATCCCTCAGTCTCTCCTTTCTTTTTTTCAAAAAAACGTTTAATAGTTAGTTTTCTCAAAAATTTCTGAGGGTCTATAAATAATTCAAATTGATTTGGACCTTTCTGTGGAGCGAATTTTAGTCCTTTGTCTAAAATGCTAGCTTCAGCTTTATTCAATTTATATTTGGAAAGATTAAAAATGCCTTCTGGACTATCAATGTTTTTGTTATTTTCTAACTCTTTCAATAGTCTGACGTCTCTCCCTCTTCCACTTCCCCTAATCCTCCTACGGCTCCTAGGAGTTTTCTCTTTTTGGGTGGGGTTTGGGCTAAACTGAGGGGAGTAAATCTGTTCCTTTGATGCCAGTAATTCTTTATAGGACTTCTCAGAACTTGATTCCTTTGTCCTCTTCCTAAAAAATCTTTCTGTGTGATTCTTGAACTATCTTTAGTCCTATCTATTTCCATAAATTTTGGTTTATCTTTTCTCCTGACTATAGGATTTTCATATTTTGCTCTCCCTGATTTAATCGGGGTGTTCCACTGAACTCTAGGAGGTTTCTCAGTCTTTCTTCTATCATCGTTCTTATAAGTATGTCTCTCTATATTAGGATAAGTCACTCTATAATTTGATCTAGAATTTTTAAAGGGTTTCTTTTTCCACTCTCTTTGTTTACCACTTTTGTAGTCTTCTTTGTCTCTATTTAATTTCCCTTCCTTCATTGTTAAAATCTTCTCTTCTAGTTTTTCTATTTTGTTATTCAATTCTACACTGTGTTGTTGTATTTTCTCTTCAGTATATTCATTACTAATTTCCGTTTCAATATTTTTTATCTCTTTTTCTACTTCATTTATTTCACTCTGTTGGAATTCTACCAACAGGTTCATCAGTTTCAGGGAACATTTCTCTAAAGTATCGTTCCACTTAGTCATGAAACTTTCATTTTCTAATCCGAAGGCTGGTTGTTTCTCAATTCTCAAGCCTCTCGGAGTTATTCCTAACTTTATATATTGCTGTAAATATTTTATTTCCCACCATTTTTTTACCTCTTTTTCTGCAAGTCTTTCTAAATTTAGAAATAAAAAACTTTTTTCTATGGTGGGACTTATATCTTTCTTAGAAAATAGGTTTTCAAACCTCTTATTTCTTGCCTCCCTCATAGAGGTAGTCATTAATCTACAATAAGCCATTTGTTCAGATCAATATAGCAATATATACAATCACACGTGCACTTTAAATACCCACTACCTTGGAGTGAACCACTAATATATACCAAAGGTGTATATCAGAACATAAATCTAAAAGAGGGGCAGTAAGTGGGAAAAAGTGCAAAATTCCAGTGCAGGCTAATCACCCCAAAATAGGGATTTACATGTAGTGCCACTAAAGAAGTTTTTAAAATAAAGAATTTTATAAGTTGCCAAACGAAAAATGTAATTTATCTTCTTGAATGTAAATGTGGTATACAATACGTAGGTCGTACAATAAGAAAACTACACATTAGAATCCTGGAGCATTTTAATGGTATAAAAAGAGGGAACATAAAACATAGTGTTCCCAAACATTGTATAAATTGTACTCATTTTAGCTTCCAAGATTTTAGATGTATAGGTATTGATACGATAATCCCCCATTGGAGAAGGGGTGATACGGAAAAAGCGCTAGCTATGAAAGAAACAGAATGGATTCACAAACTTAAAACCACTTCTCCAAGAGGTCTAAATGTGGATCTGGATTTATTAGTGTTTATGGATTGAATTCTATAGTATTTTAGGACCTTTGGAAAGCTCCTTTCCATTTATTTTTTAATATTATAATATTATAAATTTTTGGTAATTTTTTGTTGTTTCCATAGAAGTTTTATTGAATTTTATATATTTTTTAGTAATTATTATCATTATTTTTTATGGTAATTTTAAAAGATTTTGACGTTTTCGCCATGTCCCTCAGTTAAACTAAAATAAAAATGTTCATTATTGCATATTGTTTTTATTAAGCTCGAAATGACCATCTCTATAGCTTGCTATATATAGATAAAGAAAAAGAAAAACACTTTTGTATACATAATATTGTATAAAATGTAACATTATGTCTCTTTTATCCCTCCATAGTATGTCTAATCATTATTTTTAATCTCTTGTAAATCTTCTATTCTCAGTTGTAGATTTTTAGCAATTCTAAAGATGAAATATGTAATTTATTTCTAATGTTTTTAATTCAGTATAAAGTGTATGCATAACATGTTTTTAGCACTAGATGAATTGTATATTACTGATATAAATGAGGTTTAAGTGCCCACATTTCATTCCGTAAGACCAGGTGGTCAAGTACGGAAATGTGTTCATTGGCACAGAATATCAATAAAGTTGTTTGCGTTCCAGGCTGGATGTGCGCGCATGCGCGGTAAAGCTCTTACCGTAATGCGCATGCGCGCAATAATGAAAGCCGCGCGAACTCAATTATTTAAAAAGCCGGAAGAAGAAGAAACATACAGCTCCTGAGAAAGTCAATTAGACGAAACGTGTCGAGCAATTGGAAGATCGCCAGTGCCCCTACAGCTTTTGGATCATATCTAGTTCCGAGTGAAATACCATTGGAAGTCTTTAGAACTTTGGATACTGGGATCCTGCTACAAGAAGGGACTCTAGCCCAGGAAAGGGCTGTAAAGCTTTTCAGCACAACTAAGACATATGTCCTTGTTGTGCAACTATACTTGTGAGTGTACTTGCTTTTTATTATTTTGTTTTAATTGTTATTAAATACTTCACTATATATTTTCTGCTTTCTATCTCTTTACATGAATATTCATGACTATGATGTGGTAAATATATTCACATGTTTGTGATCGTGGCGCCCCCGGTGGTATACGTTTAACTATACTATTTTTTTGGTATTGTAACTGGGACTGGGAGTGATCCCTATTTTGGGGTGATTAGCCTGCACTGGAATTTTGCACTTTTTCCCACTTTCTGCCCCTCTTTTAGATTAAAAAGACCTACACCTGGAATGCTTAGGAGGATGATAACTACGTATGCATACACTGCTGGCATAGAAGATTAGAGTTGAAAGCAACAGGAAATGCTAAAATAAAGCTAGAATCTCTCAGTAATATTCGCATCAGATATAAATCGACATTGCTTAAACTGAACATGACTGAATGATGTTCCCAATACATGTAGACCATATAAAGAAAGTCTGGGTGGTGTTAGAAAGTGAGGGAATGCAAAAGCAGCAAACGAGAACTGCAGGCTTAGCTAGCTGTTTTAGATTATACCCCAATGAAAATTACATAATTAAATGCATGCAAGCTATTCCTTTGGGCATATTTTACCAAACAATATTTGCCCAATGAGTACCTGACTACCCAGAGGGCAGCCAAACATCAAAATGTAGGGTGACTAACTGAAATGCATATGATACAGTTTTATGAATTTGAGGTCATTTAGTAAGAAGATTTAAGACATTTAGAAGATATTCCTCTGTACAGAAATGAAAGGGACACTCCAGGCACCCAGACCACTTCTGCCCATTGGAGTGGTCTGGGTGCCAATTCCCACTACCCTTAACCTTTTCATAAACTGCAATATTTACCTTGAAGGGTTAAGTCCTCCTCTAGTTCATAGAACACGAAAAGTGTGTTATACAACGCTGGACGTCCTCACGCTGTGAGGACCTCCAGCGTTGCCGAAATCCCCATAGGAGAGCAATGAAAAGCATTATTCAATGCTTTCCTATGGGGAGGAAAACAAATGGAGAAGGGCTGCGCCACAGAAAGAGGTACTAAAATAGAATGAAATATATTCCCAATAAAATACGATAAACAGAATAAAAATAGTCTCTAGGTAAAATAAATAAATAGGTAAGTCCAGCTTTGGTATCTTGGTTCTTTATACTTGAGGAATGTGAAGGGTCTGGGTCTTCTCAGTCTCCGTATGTGGAAAAAGAAAAGACAGAGCGACCTGTAATATAATACAGGTAAATAAACCCTAGTCACATGCTTTGGCTTTAAACAGCCGATACAAGTTATATAATGCTTGTTTTTAAAATTAAATATGATGCCCATGGTCCCCAAGTCTCCTGCTATCCACCCACACCATTATATTTTGAATTTTTAATGTACAAAATTTCGATGTGTGCTGATTGGTGGACAGCCTATGATGCAATTTCGGCGCCAATTTTTAACTATCCTCTCCCCTATATAAACCCTTTTTGACAGGTTGACTGTTATTAATCCATTTGACAAAGCCCACACGGTGAAACGCGTTATGGATATTTATTTCAAAACTTTTTATATTGAATAAAGGATTTTTGGTTTTATTACAAACTACTACCTCCTTATTTCAATAATTTACTCAATCTGAGTTTTTTTATCTCTCCCTGGCATTTTTTCATTTTATTTATTTTTAACCTGAAGAGCGGTTATCTACTTAACTCTCAAGAACATCCTAGGTGGGGATCATACCACTAACGCTGTCATCACTGAGCAGTAAGTCTGCTCCATACTTGTAAGTAATATTCTGTTCAGTTTTATTTACCTGTATTATATTACAGAGAGCACTATCTGTGGCTATCTCTTCTGCTTCGAGTATCTAGATTACCATCTCCTGTGACTACGACCATCATATCCCATAAGTGGGGATTATACCACTGTATGCGATATCCACTAGAGCTGGTCATAGCTCTTGTTCATGTGAGTGCAATATTTTTATCTAAGTGTTGTCCGTCTAGCCCAGACATATTGCACTATCAGGTCGCTCTGTCTTTTCTTTTTCCACATACGGAGACTGAGAAGACCCTCACCCTTCACATCCCTCAAGTATAAAGAACCAAGATACCAAAGCTGGACTTACCTATTTATCTATTTATTTATTTTACCTAGAGACTATTTTTATTCTGTTTATCGTATTTTATTGGGAATATATTTCATTCTATTTTAGTACCTCTTTCTGTGGCGCAGCCTTTCACCATTTGTTTTCTTTTCGGTTATTTTGAAGGGTTCAGAGGGATCCCCTTCTTAGGGTTGCTGCCTTATTTTACCTTTTATTTAGCGCTGACCCTTTCTGTTTTTTCCTATAGGGAGGTCTCATGCGCGTGCACGGCATTGCCGCACATTAGGTCTCCCCCAGCCGCCGGCCGCGCATGCTCAATAGGTCTCTCCCACCAGCTGATGGCGGGGGAGGAGCGTAGGCGGAGCCTGAGCCAGCGCTGAGGGACATCGGCGCTGGATACAGATAAGTTACTGAAGGGGTTTTAATCACTTCAGCAACATGGGATGGTTGGTGGGAGGGAGAGGGGACCTGCAGTGACAGGAAAACAGATTGTTTTCCTGGCACTGGAGAGTCCCTTTAAGGAAATTTACATTTATGTGTATAGAGAATGTATACACAAGTTTAAATTTTATTTCCTTTACTATATGTATAGGTCTAGGTTTGGGCCTGACATAAATTTAGACAGTTAGTTGAAACACCCAGCCACATAATTACTAAACAATGAAGGCTCAAAAAGTGCATGAATACCCAGGACAGACAAAAAAAAACCTTTAAAATGTTGAGATAGCAACATTAAATTGTGGGGTGACTTAACTAAAATGCATATGATAAAAGTCGATATGGCCTAGTGTGGGCCAATACAGTAAGCAGAATGAGGCATCGCGTGTGTGTGTAATAAATATATATATATATATACACACACGCGCGATGCCTCATTCTGCGGCAATGCCGTGCACGCGCATGAGACCTCCCTATATATATAATACACACACACACACTTTTATTTCCTATATAGGTATATATTATAATTAAAGCATTTTATAATATATTATACATATATGATTTCATTAGAAGTGTATTTTGAGATATATGTTTATATATATCTCAAAGTATGAGTAGAGAGGGACTAGCTCTTGACCCAGAAGTATGGTTGGAGAATAAATTAAAACTTAATACTCTTTGTCTAAATACTATATTAAAAGTTAAGTGGATACAATCTTTGGCATTGCCACTAGATGGAGACAATGCTTAACCATGCTAAAAAATAGCATCAAAGAAAAAGATACTTATTGATCTATTCACAATATATACAGCGTTTGAAAAAGGGTAAAAAAATAAATATAAATATATACAAACTACTTTTTAAACTACATTTCCCATCAGACCTTGCGGCCGGTAAGCACAGCCGTGCACGTGACCCTAGTCACATGCTTCGGCTTTAAACAGCCGATACAAGTTATATAATGCTTGTTTTTAAAATTAAATATGATGCCCATGGTCCCTATATAAAAGCGAGGGCTTGCACTCCTCCTGGTGTAATCCTGTGGTGCCTGGTGCTGGTCTGGCAAGGATCATGTAGACATAGCAGAAATGACTGCACTCCAAGGATTTTATAGAGATTTTCAAATAAAATTTAACTTTTTTATTCAATCTATTTAAAAAGTCGACGTTTCAGCTCCCACATGGAGCTTTCATCAGGACAAAACATAACTTACAAGTGCAGACACAAAGATATATATACCCCCAAACCCTCAAAATAATTTACCTTAATTGTGTACTCACCTAGCCATGAGACAGCTTGCCCTGCATTAGAGAGTAATGTATCTCTGAGTGTGGTGGCCATGTGTGCAAGGCCCAGAAAAAGGGCGGGGCTACAGGTTACTTAGTAACAATCCAACTGGACTGATTGTCGCTACTAGGCCACAAGGTGGAAAGCAATCATAACTGAGCTCAGGGTAAAGTATGAGAGGATACAGAGTCTAGAATGTTTCAAAAATTAATCTGTCTGTGTTCATATATTTTAAACATTATAACATGGTGTTTACATGGTGTGTTCAATAAAAACATGGCAACATTTCATTCTTTGTGTGTTATTAGTTTAAGCAGACTGTGATTGTCTATTGTTGTGACTTAGATGATGATCAGATTACATTTTATGACCAATTTGTGCAGAAATCCATATCATTCCAAAGGGTTCACATACTTTTTCTTGCAACTGTATATAAAGCAAAAAAAATCAGACTCACAACAATACCTCACACCGTGGATGAATTGATACAGTAATGATCAGTCACAGGAGAGGTATAAACCAATGACACTACTAGGCAAAGGCAAGAAGAATCATATACAGATTAGTTAAGGAAAGAAAAAAGAGACATCGGTATGAACCGTAGAATTTGTGGCAACTCCTAAATTATAAGTAGGCCAATCAAAGAAACATATTGTAAATAGTACAGATGATGCCAAACAATATAATCAAATTTATTAGAGACAGTTGTGTAACATAAGTAGGAGATATGTAATCGGCAGGATACTGATGAGAAGGTGGTAACCAGAGGCACATGATCCATTGTGGCAAACGACACATAATAAGAAGGATAGTAGAAGATATTCACTTATCCTTATGAAAACAAACAACCGCATACTTACTCTTACCTTATCTTCAGATAGTGATGAAATACTTATGGCAGAGCCTATGGCAATAATAAGCAGTTTGTATTATCTGCAAGATATCAACACCAATACAAGTATATAATCCACAAGTATTAAATCATGTTATGAGTGACCATAACTTATACCGATCTAGGTACAGAGACCATGAAAAACATATTAGTTAAATGTTTGTCATCAACAAGTTGCATTACATTATATTATGTAGGGTGAATCAACCACTTAAAGCCACACATCGGTTGCAAATTCCAGATATAAGGACCACTAGAAGAATCCTCATGAATATCAGAAGAGAGGACCGTAATGGAGTTACCTGTTAAGGGATTTCCTCTCTTGTTCTGTTAGCAGGTGAATTTTACCTGAAATAGTAAACCTGGTAGAATGGCCTGGGGACTAGAAAGACCTACCAGTGTCAATTAAAATACTTGCAATACAAAGTATCGAAAACTTACCTGGATCATATGAGCCTAAAAAAATACCTTTAATTGCAGAAAGGAAATTATAATATTCCCCTTCACAACAGGGGAATCTTGTCAGAAATTTCTGAACATTAATTCCTTAAGAAACAAAAGCATGCCACCCCTGACATATCCTAAAGGGATTGCCAAACTCTCAGGTCCCCAAGGGATAAAAGAGAATACTGCATATAAAAATTAGTACATTCTCCAAATTATAAAGATTATGCTTTGAGGAAATGTACTCCGTTCTAAAGAATATGTTAAACCAATTCCAGAGAATTGAGCTAAAAACTGAATAAAAAGCACAAACCAGACCAGAAGTAGTGAATTCTTCAGAGTAGAAGTTTGTGGAAAAATAAAATGATACTAAAGTTAAGACCAGGAGAGAAACAAGCCAATACGAACAGCTTTTAAATCAGGTAATGGCTTCAGAGTTACCTACTTATGAGTATGATTAATAGCCCAATTTGTGCTCCTGCAACCAGCATGATCTACTAAGCTGTGCATCAGTAACGGCATATATCTGAAGGTTAAACAATGCTACCAAAATTGAAAAAACCATTCCCTATCTTGATAAGAGAGGAGAGGATACCTGGCAATAGAAAAACTTTTGAGAAATGGTCTCATGTATAAATACATAGGAGTGCACACAGAAAGGCCTTAATTTTGTTAAACAGTACCATGCTCCATTTTGGAAATTCAGGTCTCCTTCTCTCCTGGGAGAGGCACTCCGACAGGTTCAGAAACACCTGCAATCCATCTGAAGTGGTAAAATGTGTTTAATTGCTTATCCTGAAACACCTGAGGGAGAAGGAATCTAATTCAAAGCCAAAAGCAGTATGTGTCCTTATCTACTTCATTTAAAAACTGAAATAGAAAATCCACAGTAGGCACTAGTTACTTACCTAGTGCAACAGTGCATTTGCTAGAATCGGGCAGTATTAAATTTCAGTGCAAAACAGACCTTAGATCATTTGTATATATTAAATCTACCAAGGCTGTGAATAAATTGGGATTATATAATAATACTAACCTGCATACAGATTATATGAATCACATACATTGTGCATGTTTCTTAACAGCACCTTATGCACCGATATATCAGTTACATATACTGAGTCTGTTTAAACAGTAATCATACATAGCCTACCTCTGCTATATACAGTGACACTATGCCTGTACACATATTAAGATTATATAAGGTGGGTTTATATAGGCCTTAAATCCCTCCCACATCTTCAGACATATGCCTTCTATATATCATATATAGCATACTTATACTGAGGCGGTGTACTCACAGTAACTCCTATGTAGACTATATAGCGGATACATATACTGAGGCGTATCCTCCTAGTAAGTCTTACATAGAGCATATAGTGGATACATATACTGAGGCCATGTCCTTATATTAACCCATACATGGATCATATACTGGACACACTCTGTTCATACGTTCATAAAGTGAAAACATACCGATGCTGTACCACCACCAGATTATGTATGGATACTGAGGCCCCGTGGTCTCATATGCAGCATATTCTTCCACTCTCTGGAAAAGCCTGCTTATGTGCGACAATGCACAGATAACAGCAATCAATGCCACATATCTTGATAGGAACAAGTGTGTGTGTGGACTTAGATTTAGGTTTTTTAAAACCTATTATATACATGTGAGTACTTCAATCAGTCACCCAGGAAAGTTCTCTTACCTTGGATATTTCTTCAGGACTGTGAAATTCTGGCAGACTTTATGCAGCCAGGATATCCATTATTAGCACTCCTTTTCACAATGCCTCATTGCATTATCAGCACTCTTTTGCACCAAGCATCCTTTCATGTATAAACTTACCTAAATGTTCACCACACAAACCTCCTAAATGTGACCTATTTGTTAGAAGGAAGCCTAATGTAAGCAGCTGGGAGGGACTGAAAGATTTAGTCGCTGTTACTGAGACATGGTATAATGAGAAAAATGACTGGGACATAGCAATACCAGGGTACTCTTTATATAGAAAAGACAGGGAAGGCAAGAAAGGGGGAGGGGTGGCCCTGTATGTGAAGGATATCATAAAATCTAGCATAATAAAAGTTAATGAGGCGAACATAGAGTCCGTTTGGGTTACGTTAGAATTAGGTTATCACCCAGTAACTCGTGTAGGTGTGATTTATAGGCCCCCAAATTTGAAGAGTTAGATAATCTACTAGTTGAGGAAATAGCTAAAATGACAATGAAGGGGGAAGTTATCATCATGGGTGACTTTAATCTTCCTGATGTGAATTGGAAAACAAAAATAGCTGCTTGTGCCAGGAGCACACATATTCTAAACTCCCTACTGAGCTTAGTGGTGTACTAGCAAAACCATTAACATATTTATTTAGCCAATCATTGTTAACAGCAGTAGTCCCAGAAGATTGGAAGTTAGCGAATGTTGTGCCCATTCACAAGAAAGGTAATAGGGAGGAGATGGGCAACTATAGGCCAGTAAGCCTTACTTCACTAGTGGGAAAAGTGATGGAAGCCATGTTAAAAGGATAGGATTGTTGAACATCTAAAAACACATGGATTTCAAGATCAGAGACAACATGGGTTTACTTCAGGGAGATCATGCCAAACTAATCTTATTGATTTTTTTGATTGGGTAACTAAAATTATAGATCAGGGTGGTGCAGTAGACATTGCTTACCTAGATTTCAGTAAGGCTTTTGACACTGTTGCACATAGAAGGCTTATCAATAAACTGCAATATTTAAGTTTGGATTCCAATATTGTTGAATGGGTAAGGCAGTGGCTGAGTGACAGGCAACAGAGGGTTGTAGTCAATGGAGTATATTCAAAGCTTGGGCTTGTCACCAGTGGGGTACCTCAGGGATCTGTACTTGGACCCATTCTCTTTAATATTTTTATTAGTGATATTGCAGAAGGTCTTGATGGTAAGGTATGTCTTTTTGCTGATGATACTAAGATATGTAACAGGGTTGATGTTCCAGGAGGGATAAGCCAAATGGCAAATGATTTAGGTAAACTAGAAAAATGGTCAGAATTGTGGCAACTGACATTTAATGTGGATAAGTGCAAGATAATGCATCTTGGACGTAAAAACCCAAGGGCAGAGTACAGAATATTTAATAGAGTTCTAACCTCAACATATGAGGAAAGGGATTTAGGGGTGATTATTTCTGATGACTTAAAGGTAGGCAGACAATGTAATAGAGCAGCAGGAAATGCTAGCAGAATGCTTGATTGTATAGGGAGAGGTATTAGCAGTAGAAAGAGGGAAGTGCTCATGCCATTGTACAGAACACTGGTGAGACCTCACTTGGAGTATTGTACACAGTACTGGAGACCGTATCTTCAGAAGGATATTGATACCTTAGAGAGTTCAGAGAAGGGCTACTAAACTGGTTCATGGATTGCAGGATAAAACTTACCAGGAAAGGTTAAAGGATCTTAACATGTATAGCTTGGAGGAAAGACGAGACAGGGGGGATATGATAGAAACATTTAAATATATAAAGGGAATCAACACAGTAAAGGAGGAGATTATATTTAAAAGAAGAAAAACTACCACAACAAGAGGACATAGTCTTAAATTAGAGGGACAAAGGTTTAAAAATATCAGGAAGTATTACTTTACTGAGAAGGTAGTGGATGCATGGAATAGCCTTCCAGCTGAAGTGGTAGAGGTTAACACGGTCAAGGAGTTTAAGCATGCATGAGATAGGCATAAGGCTTTCCTAACTATAAGATAAGGCCAGGGACTAATGAAAGTATTTAGAAAATTGGGCAGACTAGATGGGCCAAATGGTTCTTATCTGCCGTCACATTCTATGTTTCTATGAAAGAACAGAGACCCAGGTGCCTATACTAGTTTTAATCTAAATTACTAATGCACTTACCTGAACAGCTGCAGGCCTGTGTTCCAGCAGCAAAATGGGAAATTGAACTACTGACAGCCTAAACTGTTTTTAACTATAGGCTTCCATCTGTACCCCATATGCCGTCCATCATCACTAGTGGAAGGTTTAACCAACCCCATACAAGGTGGACCACATAGAAAAGGAATACCCAGGTAGTCACCTCATGGAAGTGCTGTTTCCTGGGTCTTCAGGGATAAGAGGCTCAACCCTGGCCTGGCTTCCTGTAGGCAGTATGTCACATTCATCCCCTGAGTGGGTACCCAAGCTGGCCTGTTGCTGGGTCTTCAGGGATAAGAGGCTGAACCCTGGCATGCAGTGGACCATTTTCATCCCTTAAGGGAGATGTTGGGTCCGACCCCCGGTCACTAAAGGGGTTACCCAGGTTTGCAGTATTAGCGTTGCTGGGTCTTCAGGGCTTATAGGCTGAACCCCGGCATGGCTACAAAAATATTGCCTGGTGAGCATAAAAGAAAATCTAGGCCTGCATAAGCAGAACTCCTTCCAAACTGCTGTGAAGGACAGGAAAAAAGACTGCCTGATGGGAAGGGGGGAGGATCTATTTATACCTGTTTCAGAGTTCTATTTCCTGTCCTTTCTGTGAGGGAAGGAGCTAACCCATGAGTAAATGCTGCCATGAATAAATTATCAGAAAAAGAAAATTACGGTTAGTATGAAGCAAATTTTCCTTTATTAAATGTGTTTTTTAGATCCGAACCATGAGATATGCCCACCCTATTTGCTATAAGCATAGAGAGTTTAAGAGTAGACTTGTAGACAAGCTCTTTCCTCAGTTACAAAGGAACAGATACACCCTTTCAGTGCTGCATTGGATGAACTGCTCCAACACTCAAAGAGTGAATTCGCAGTATGATAACAGATTTTGGGTTCCTGATGGCCCTTCCAGCCTGTTATACTGTTTAAAATATATGAACACAGACAGATTAATTTTTGAAACATTCTAGACTCTGTATCCTCTCATACTTTACCCTGAGCTCAGTTATGATTGCTTTCCACCTTGTGGCCTAGTAGCGACAATCAGTCCAGTTGGATTGTTACTAAGTAACCTGTAGCCCTGCCCCTTTTCTTGGCCTTGCACACATGGCCACCACACTCAGAGATACATTACTCTCTAATGCAGGGCAAGCTGTCGCATGGCTAGGTGAGTACACAATTAAGGTAAATTATTTTGAGGGTTTGGGGGTATATATGTCTTTGTGTCTGCACTTGTAAGTTATGTTTTGTTCTGATGAAAGCTCCATGTGGGAGCTGAAACGTTGACTTTTTAAATGGATTGAATAAAAAAGTTAAATTTTATTTGAAAATCTCTATAAAGTCCTTGGAGTGCGGTCATTTCTACTATGTGTGTGTATATATATACATATAATGTTCACTCTGGGATGTGTTTAAATAGATAATAACAAGCTGTATTCAATGCATTGTTCTATAATTAATCAAATTAGCAATCTGTAAAAGTTTGTCACTAAAATGCAACATGGTAACATCATGTTTGCAATGTGATGCCTGGGGAACCCCTCTGCAATGTGGAAATGCAAGCAGTACAGCGGCTATTGAAACAGTGAGCGGTGAAGTCCTAGAAAGGACTGTTGGTGTAGAGTAAACGATGTTGGTAATGGAGATGGTGAAAATATCGGTATGCTGGTATATATAAATGCTAAATCTGTGTCTTCAAGGGCACCTATGCTAGCTTGTTAGAACTAACTATCTAACTATCACTGGATGGCACTACCGATAATTATCACCGTTACAAAATACGGAATCACGTCAGAAATGGCGGGAAAATAATTCTGCTTCAAATATGTGTAAGTCTGTGCCTTTGTAGGCACCTGTAAAGAAGGGAAAATAAACTGGCTTTTGCTGAAATAATAATAGTGCAAGGATTTGCTAGTCTGTGTCTTTAAAGGCACCTATGAGAAAGAGAGTCTATCTATCTCTATGGAGCAGAACGCCAGAAAGTCTAATCACCCTGGTCAGACCGCTGCTGAAGAATTCAATGCAGGGAGGTTTGTGAGAATACACGTACTGATAGTATGACGGTGGTCACTGTCAGTAGATGACCTGCGGTAGACCTGTGCAATTCATTTCTGGCCGAATATGAATTTGGACGAATTTCGGGGGATTTGGACATTCGGGTACTTCCGAATTGCCGAATTACCAAGGTCCCGAAGTTGCCGAAGTTCCGAAGCACAGTATTGCCTAAGTACTAATATACTTACCCAGTGGAAGAAGAAGAATGTTACACTGTATACAAGTTTAAATAAAAAGTATGCAAACATAGCCAGGATTCAGCTGTAAGCATTTGCAACACTTACAACAATCAAGTAACACACATTCATATAAAATGTAAGTTACTTAGCCTGTCAATGTAATGACAGGAATGAATAGGTAGATAACTCCCTAATTCCTACGTTATTAGGGAGCTATCTACTAAAAGGCTAAAAGACCTGAATTGGTCTTTCAGCCAAATTTACTAATACTAAGTAAAAATTACTTAGTATTAGTAAATAATGCCCCTACTCACTATACCGCGAGTAGGGGCATGTCTACTGAGCAGTGAGCAGCCTGTCCGGGGTGGCCGGAGCTGCTGCAGCGAAACTGCTGGGGTCTTCCCCCGATCGTTATAGCCATGGATCGCCGGTCAAGTCCAGGGCTCCTATTTGCTGCGGACATACTAGGTACGTCTGCGGTCCTTAACAACCGTTTTTTGTCGGATGTACCCAGTCATTAAGGAGATATACATAGAATTTTATATATATATATATATATATATATATATATATGATTTTTAAAATGAACTTTCGTTTTATTTTTAATTACATTTTTGTAAAATATATATGTATATATACACACGTGTGTAATTTTACTCTTAAGTGCATTTTTATATTAATATATGTAGATTTTTTTATTTTTTATAATTCTTTATTTAACATTGAAGACAAAACAAAAAAAAACTCATTATACAATCTTTAACATGCATTTAGCAGGAATATTAACTATAAGATTGCATTTTAACTCTAATATCGCCATTTTAAGTTATTCAACAATGCGAATTTTTACATTTATCAAAAAAAATATATATATATACTCTCCCCCCCTCTGCCTCTCTATCTAAATATGCCCTTCCCGTTTGTATAAACCTTCCAAGGTTCCCAGACCTTAACAAACATATGATAGGAATGTCTTACTCTTGATGATAATTCATCCATTATATAATTTTCTTGAATCTTTAATTCAAGCTCTCTCATTGATGGTAAATCTAGATTTATTCAGCCAGCGGCTATACATCTGCGTGCGGCCAATAAAATTAAAAATATTAATTTCTGCGCGTGGCAGGGTATACCTGCTATTGATTTCGATAGCAGAAATATCCAAGGGTTAAGTTCTATGTTTCCCTGTATTATCGCTCGAATTAGCTCCCTTATTTCCTCCCAGTAGCTTTTAATCTTTGGGCAATCCCACCACATATGTAAATATGTCCCTTGTAGGCCACATCCCCTCCAGCAAAGATATGTCATATTTTTACCTATTTTATACAAAAAGACAGGGGTCACATGCCACCTAAATAATATCTTAAACATCTGTTCCTGCGAGATTACACATATCGATATTTTAGATGCTGTTTCCCAAATATCTATCCAATCCTTAATTTCCAAAGAACCACCTAAATCTGCCTCCCAATGGGATATATACTTTAATGGAGCCCAAACCGTAGGTTCCTCACTTAGTTGATTGTAAAAATCAGAAATACGACCTCCCTTTAACCTATCTATTTTGCAAACTTTTTCAAAATTGGTGAAGGGGAATTTGACTGCCGTTTTTACCTCCATTGAGTACGCGAAGTCTCTAATCTGCAAATAACGAAAAAAATCTCCTGTCCTCAGCTCTATTCTGCTCGACAGTCTAGAAAATAGAACTACCTCTCCTTCTGACCAGAGATCTACATATCTGTGGATTCCTCCTGCTTTTAGACTTTGGAAATTGTATTCTTCCAGGCCTGGAATAAATTGTCTATTCCAAAAAACAGGGGTCATAGGTGAAGGGAAGTTAGTTAGACTAAGTTTATCCCAAATGTGGAGGGAGTTCGCTGTAGAGGGGCATATTTGTTTTAGCACTGGTCTTGAAACCTTATTCAACCACATGTACAACCCTGGTGAGTCTGGTGTCATTAAGTCTTCTTCCATATCCGCCCATCTGTATTTCCCTTGGGTTGCATGCCAACCAATAATTTGTGCCAGTTGGGCTGCATAATATTAAATTAAATTGGGGAGACCTAGTCCCCCTTTAACTCTCGGTCTATACAGGAGAGTTCTAGCTACCCTATGTCGCTTGCCCTGCCAAATAAATGTGTCTATAGCTTTCTGGATACCCAATAAGTCCCCTTTGCAGACCTTTATAGGCAATGCTTGAAATAAAAATAAAAGCCTCGGTAAAATGTTCATTTTTATAGAATGAATTCTGCCAATCCATGAAATTGGCTTATCGTGCCAATTCTCTAAGTCGTTTTTCAAAGTTTTAGTCAAAGGTACATAGTTGTCATTAAATAATGTATTAAAATTGTATCCAATTCTAATACCCAAGTAGCTTAGCGATTTATCGATACACATATCAAATTTAGCTTTTAGTTGGTCTTGTTCTGCCTCAGATAAATGAAAAGACACTCCACATGATTTATTATAATTTACCTTATAACCTGAAATAGCTCCAAATTGTTCTATCAACTTGAACAATTCAGGGATAGATTCAGAAGGGTTTGCTATAGAGATTAAAATATCATCGGCATAAGCCGCTGTTTTATAAATCTCCTTACCTATTTGGATACCCTGTATATTACCGCTTTCCCTGATATGAATCAGAAGAGTTTCTAATATAAGGGCAAACAAAATAGGAGAGAGGGCATCCTTGATGTGTGCCATTGTATATTCCAAACGGAGTCTTATCTGCGCCAGGGAGCTGTATTGTTGCTTGGGGATTTGAATATAGCGCTCAAATTATAGTAATGCACTTGGCTGTAAAAGCCCCAATATTGAAGCAAATAAGCAAAATAAGGCCAGGCGACCCTATCAAATGCTTTTTCTGCATCTGACAGGAGTATTGATGGTGTCTTCCCTGTTGCCATGACCCAAGCAACGTTGACTGCTCTACGCGTATTCTCGTACAGCTGTCTGCCCGGAACAAAACCTACCTGATCTGGGTGAATCAGGATGGGGAGTAGTGGAGAGAGCCTCAGGGCAAGGACTTTAGCTATTATCTTTATATCGACATTTATCAGCGATATAGGTCTATAATTTCCCACTGATGCAGGGTCCTTATCTTTTTTTGGTAAAAGAACAATTTTAGCCATTGTAAAATCAACTGGAAGAACTCCGCTTTGACAGATTTCGTCTATGACCGCTTGTAAATATGGCATGAGAATTTGTTGAAATATTTTATAATAACTGCTACTAAAGCAGTCTGGCCTTGGTGCTTTACCCCCCTTAATAGAAGAGCATGCAGTTTTAATTTCCTCTAAAGATATTTTGGTCCTTCATCCTTCTAAAGCACTTTTAGGGATTTGGGGTAAATTTGTCCTATTCAAGAATTCTCTCAATCTTGCCTCCTGATCCGTACCTTCTACATTCTCATTTTTAAATTGACTATACAATCTAGAAAAGTATTCCCGAAACACTCCATAAACATCCTCTGGTGATGATACTAATGATCCTGAAGCGTTTCTGGTAGCTGAGATAGGATTAAAGTGTGTTCGTGGTTTTAAGCATCTGGCCAAAGGTGCATCTATTTTATTAGCTTTCTCATAAAAATATCTGCGTGTTGTTTTTAGCTGCCATACTGCTTCATCTAACAAAAGATTTTTAATCTTTAATCTACACGTTTTTAGATCATGTAGAGTTTGTTCAGTGGGGACTGTTTTATGTTTTTGTTCCAGCGTACGTAAACCTTTCTGTAACTCAAATAATGATTGTGATTTAATCTTTTTCTTATACAAGGCTATTTTAATCAATTCTCCCCTAATTACAGTTTTATGTGCTGCCCATAAAGTGGTTTTACTAATTTCAGATGCATTATTTTCAGAAAAATAATTTAACAATACCTTTGTAATATCTGTTCTCACTAGGGAATCCTCCAAAAGAGAAGTATTTAGTTGCCAAGAAAAATTGGGTTTAGCTGATAATCCTTTTATATGTACAGTGATATCTGCATGATCTGACCACGTGATATTTTATAATTTGTGAGCTATATAAATAGGGAGAAAGTGTTAAATTGGTCAAAAACGTATCTATTCTAGAATACGTATCATGTGGATGCGAATAGAAGGTATAATCGAGTATGTCTGGATGTTGAGCCCTCCATATATCAATAAGTTTATGAGCTGTCACGAACTGAAAGAACTGTTTGTCCTGTCCTCCCCTTCCCTGGGATCGCAATGTTCCCAGCTTATGACTCCTATCTATTGCTGGACAAGAAACCGCGTTGCAGTCCCCACCTATCAAGAAACAATCAGACGCTATAGAATTAATAATTTGGCCTATCGTATCACAAACTCTATTATCTTGGACATTTGGGGCGTATATATTCATTAAGTGAAGCTTACGAGTGCCCATCATTCCAGACACTAAGATATATCTTCCTTCTTTATCCTGAATGGAATTTAAGACTTTAAACTGGCATCATTTATTGAACAAAATAGCTACTACATTATGTTTTTGAATAGCATTTGAACAATACGCTCTATCATACCATTTATCTGTCAAGGATAATACATGAGATCTGTTAAGATGAGTTTCTTGCAAAAAAGCTATATCCGCCTGCTTTCTCTTTAATTCCTTAAACATTATCTTCCTTTTAGCAGGTGAGTTAAGGCCTTTTACATTTAAGGAAATTATCTTCTCATCCATCATAATTCAACCAATATACAAGCAGATGTTTTGACCCAATAAATTAAACGGACCATATAGGGATATTGTATACCAAGACAAGAGAGTGAGGGAAAAAATATATATATATATATGCATATATACACAATGGATGCCTCCTAGACTTACCAAATGCCAGGAGTTAATTAGGGGACACAGTTCTCCCAGGTCTAATTCGGCCTTGGGATAAACTGCAACTGCTCCCATCATCCTGAAGCCTAGTTTTTAAACTAATACTAGCAACCTGATTTTCCTTAACATAACATGGGTCCTCTTACACTTCCCTAAACATCTCATTAACACGTATAGGCCATCCTCAGACCCTATACAAAACCGTACAACCCAATATTATCCTATTATGCAACATTTTCCTACTGAATTGTTAGAGATATTAATTTTTATTTTTATCGTATGCATCATTTATAAAATACATACTCCTATAGAACATGCTTATTTCTTCTCGGATATGCCTTACTATACTAATCCACGTGTACTAATATGCTATAGCTTAATCCCTTCACTTCCTTATTCACCCCTTCACAATCACCATGAATATCACAATATATCCCGCTTCCCACCAAAAAAAGAAAAAATAGAAAAAAAACAAAATCAGTCAGTCCTCTTCCTTCCTTCCCCTTTTACAAAAAGGATTAGCCTAGAGAAATGAGAACTTATGTCCTTTTAAGTTTGATTCTCTCTCGCATCAAACCATTCTCTGGGTAAAGTGGGTAATGGGGTCTTTTGTTGAAATAACTGTGTTACTCCCTCTGGTGTATCTAGGCCTATTGTATTCCCAAAACGGGGGTATTGTCTGAAAAAATCTACTTGGATCCCCCGTTGGTAATAAAGCTCTGGTTTGTTCATTATGAAAAGTGAGAAGTTTAAAGGGATGGCCCCAGGCGAAGGGAATTTGATTAAGTCTCAGATGATCTGCAATCGGCTTCCATTGCCTTCTTTTTAAAAGAGTGGATGGTGAAAGATCTTGAAAAATCTGAAGCACCTTTTCAGATTTTATAAAAAAATACACTTAATATAACGTTATATATAAGATATATGTGTGTGTAATATATATATATATATATATATATATATATAATTTATTAACTTTATTTAGATTTTTTTCACTTTTTATTTTTACTTTTTTCACCAGCAGGGGGACTGCTTGTCAGTTCAGTGGACACCTATTGCAGCCATGTGACTGCTCTTTTAGAGCGATCACATGGCCCCTGGGGGTCCTAAATTGCAGAGGAGGGGTCCTAAATTGCCCAGACAGCCCCCCCCCAGTAGAAGACCGATTGCTGGCGATTGGTAAGTACATGGGGAGGAGGGGAGGGTAGGGGGTTAATTTTGTAATTTTATTTATTTTTTTAGAACCATGTACGGACCCTTCAAGGCACTCTGGACAGGCAAAGCGTCGGAAGCCTGCGTAATCGCTCCGGGGGGAGCGATCACTCTGGTGCCCAGCAGGGAGGGGGGTATTCCATGATGCCTCGATATCGAGCCATCATGTAATACCCTAAGAGCGGGTTAGTGTGCTCATTTGGGCCGTGGACGTACAGGGTAAGTCATCGGTCGTTAACTGTAGTTTTTTTTTTATAACGTACCATGTACGTCCGCGGTTACTAAGGGGTTAAAAGTGTTTTTTATTTCCTGCTCTGTAAATTGAACTTTAATGACACACAGGAGGCTCCTGCAGGCTATTGACAAAGCAGGAGATAAATTAATTAATCTGTACAATAAAGGAAGATTAAACCTTAGTAAGTCACATGCAAGGAGGTGTGGCTAAGGCTGCATAAACAAAGGGATTTACCTCACAAATGGTTGAGAATTTAGCAGTGACACTGCAATGTCATGATCTACACACCAAAACTGCTTCATTAAGCTAAAGTTATTATGTTAATAGTTATGGTGCTTGGAGTAACCCTTTAAAGCCCAAACCCTCACTCACATTTGGACAGGATTGTTATTGCAAGACTTGCTTATTGGCCAGTGCAATGCAAAAAAAAGCGCCATTCACAAGATGCTGAAAACTGAATTGTCATAATATGCCTCAGAACAGTGTCTGTGGCGATTTTTATCAATTGATTTGATGTATTTGTAACAAAGAATGAGAAGTTGTATGTTTTTAAATGTTTGTGTTCTTTTTATTTGTCTTTAGGCTACTATTCACACCGTGAAACCTTATTTGGCTCCTGGTATGTTCAAGATCTGTGTGAAATCCTTAAAACGTATGGAACAACATTGGAACTGACCGAGCTTCTAACTTTGGTGAATCGGAAGGTGTCTCTGCGCTCTGTGGAAAATTGCCTTGACCGTAACGCAATTGGAAAAAAACAAGTGCCCTGCTTTGCATCCATGTTAACCAAAAAGCTCTATTTTAAGCCAAAGCAGAATTGATCTTTTTTAAATAATTTTTAATTCTGTGATTTTTTTCCTTAAACTTTTTTTTTTTAAATAGATATTTTGTTATTCTGTTTTTCGTTGTTGTCCCCCCATAAACAACTTTTATATTTTTTTGTAGGCGGTAAAAGGGAATATATTATGAAAAAATATTAGTTAGGTACCTGTTTTTCGGTTTGTAGTTTTTTTTAGTTTTTTTTTTTTTTTAGTACTGATTGATCCTTAGTGAAAGCAAAGACGGTGTCTCTTCAAAATGTATACTGATGATCCTAATATAATTTAACTTTGTGAGATCAATATACTTGGCTATTACACGGTTTGTATGGTGATCTTAGAGAATTATTGTTCTGTGAAATAAGCCTGAATAGGTAGATAAGAGTTGTAGCAATCTACCTGGACATATCAACAGTCCACATACTGGTTTATTTGTGAAACAAAAAGTATCCCTTCTTAATGTGTTTAAATGCAACATTTCATCGTGAGCATCTCTCAGGTAATCCATTGTGAATTAATCTAATAGATTTGAAAGTATGGTGTCTATTAATATGTATCTGTATTTGTTTTTCTTTTTGTGCACATGGAACAGCAGAAAGGCCAGGCTTCCAATGTTATGGACAACTTCCGATGCCAATGCAGTACGCACTGAACAATTGTGTTACCTGTGTATGAATTGTATTAGATTATGTGAATTGACAGTACATAACTCTTCCCCTCCCCCCCATAAAAATGTATTTCAATGCTGAATGGTACAAATCTGCACGGTTTGTATATGAAATAAGAAACACAGACACTATTTTAGCTTTCCAGTGTCACTCCACAAATATAGTAGGGTAACTGGCATGCATTTACTCTGAGTGCTGTGAATTGGCACATGCTACTTATTACAATTGCTTTGGTGTGATGATTTCACTATAATGTTCACATGGTACTTGGGCTAAGCTCTGTTGTGCAGGGATGGTTCATTGGCAGAGAGAATCTGGGTTTAGCTCCATGCAATAGCTTCTGAATGTGACTGGTGCCCAGCGGACACCAGATAAATTGTGAGAATGTTCACAAATACTATGACTACTTACCTGGAAGGGTGCCAACGCCCACCTGGTACAATAACCATGACAGCAGGCCATAGATCTGTGTGAAGATCGGTGTGAAAATCTTAAAACGTATGGAACAACATTGGAATATTGGAGTATTTTAAGTTTTTATTTTGTTTTTTACTTTAAGATTGCATTGAATCTACTCTACTGTTACAGTGATTAACTAAATTAACTCATGCATAAAGTTAAAGCAGGCCCTGAACAAGCCGATTGATTTAATTAACAAGTTGCTAAATGAATCACAGGTCTTGCAAAACTCATTTCATACAATTGTCATAAACCACTCTAGAATTGAATACACCTGTATCCATTCCTTGACAGATAAGACAACAAAATTAGGAATTACTTTGTTACTGAATTACACCATATACAAAAAACAAATGTACTTTCCTTTGAAGGGTATTTCTAGTTTTTAAACTAATCTTAATAAACTACAATTTTGTAAATGTGTTAATATTAACACCTTGACAGTTTCAAAAGATTCTACCATTCCATATTCTGACAACAATAGAACATTTTGGAAACATTAAGAAATGTAATATGATTTGAATAGTATGTTATTTTTAAGTTGTTCGAAAACTGAACTGTTTACATTTTGGCTATCCAACAGAACAATTTTAGTGATTTTTCAATGTTTGTTTGTTAGCAAAATGTATGTTTACAATGCACTTCTTGGATGAGGGATGTGTATAAACTGTTGAACTTGTACCTCTTCTGTTTATGCAACTCTTTGTGCTTAGGCCAATTGAATGCTAATGTTTTGAAGATCGGATTTCAGTGCTAACTTGACGATGTAAATGTACAGAGTTAGAATTAAATGACACTGGCATCAACAATTCTTTTTGCTATAAATTTGACTGCACTTTTACATCTATTTCAGAAATGCTGTTGTTTTTTTGTGTGCCTTTAGCCTTTTAATACATTGCAATTTAAGCTTTTCAATTCAGCCTTTAAAATGCCAAAGTTGTATTTATTGATCAATATGCCAGTTTTGTAACCATAAAGCACATTTCCTAAGTGATTCTGGTGGTTCCCTCCTTTTCTCTGTAATGGCACAAGATGAGCTAAAACCAGCTTGAGATCTGAGCGGGGACCCACCGAAGGGCAGGCTATTTCAGCTGCTGCCCGTTCTCAGTATTCTCTTTGCCCTATTTTTTTTCCTTACATCCTTTTATTTTTATTTTTTTAAAACACGAGTCCACTTGAAGTTATATAATACTCACCAGGTATGTTACAACAACTGACAAACAGCACTTGATGAAAGCAGAGGGTAGCACATGGTATTAACTGAACTTACTATCTTGGATTCTTCAAACAGAGACCTTCATTATGAAGGTTATTCACTAAAGGGTGAATTCAAATAGAGTGTCAAAATTAAGGCCAGAGTAGCCAAACTGAAAGCCTAGCTAGCTTGACTTACAGACATTTTCTGCTTTGGCTATTTTGATCTTAAATTTCAAATTTCTCCTTGTAGCGGACTACTCTTAAGGGACCCGAGTGTCACCGCCAAGGTTCTCCTTCCCCCATCAAAATAGGACAGCTCTACTTTCCCCTTTGAAGTACAGCAGCGCAGTATTCAGTGATTATAGCTTAGAGCAGGCCCGGACTGGCCATCGGGCAAACCGGGCGAATGCCCGGTGGGCCATGATGGCCATGGGCCAAGGCCGGCAGAGGAGATCACAGGATCTCCCCGGCCAGCCCATGCAGAGCCCACGCAGCACTCTCACACACAGCACCCTCACACTAACAGCATACTTGCACACTCACATTGACAGCACCCGCGCACACACACACACACAGCACACTAACAGCATACTTACACACAGGACACTCTCACACAGCACCCTCACACTAACCGCATACTTACACTCACACTGACAGTACCCTCACATTAACAGTACACTCGCGCGCACACACACACACACAATATATAAAATAACCCTCAGTGAGTTAAGACAAAGAAAATTGGAAACATAAAATGTGACGGCACATAAGAACACCCTTACAGACACTAGACTCCTCTTACACACACACTGCGCCCCTCACTCATACAATACGTCCAAACATATATATATATATATATATATACACACACACACACACAGTATATACAAAGAAAGGATGCACTCTCCAGTCTTCAAAAAGTAGAAAAGTATTTATTCCATCAAAAGGTATACAATTGTGTGATCAACGTTTCGACCAATTCGGGTCTTCCTCAAGATCAACATGTAACCATATAAGCAAACTATATATAGCAAAAAATATAGTGTACTCACCAATTGTGATAATCACCCTCCTCCCCTTACTCGAAACCTGGAAGTGTCTGCCGATCGTCACATGATTTGCGTGATGACGTGACCATAGAGGACGTGTGTGATGATGAGAACATGGTTACTAGGAAACCAGTGTACACAATAAATGACCAGTCCGATATAGTTCCGTGTGAAGTAAATAAGAGTCTGTGTGAGTGTCTGTTAAAGATATTAGTGAATGTGATATATACACATCGTGGGAATTATTTTAAAACCAGTATTTTGTGAAGCATTCCATAAATTGTGTTTAGTGGAAAAAGTGCCACTTTTTAATATATATCTCATCAGTGAAAAAAGGTGACCATGTCCCACAGTGACGGATGTGTGTGTATATATTAAGAAATTAAAAGAATGTTGCTAAACCATAGGAAGATAATGTATCAAATCTTCTATTATTTAGTAGACTAGTGGGCAAACAGTATATTATATTATTATACATAGCTTTTTGATATCTAATCAAAAATTAGTTATGCTAAGAGCATAGAGACCTACTATTACAGACAGATATATTTATAACAAATAGATTCTGACAGAAGCAAAGACTTAAATTCTCAATTTGTTCCATATGTTACATGTTATAGAACTTTATCACTAATTGGGAACAATGGGAGCAGTATTGAGTATTCAATAACCACCTTAAAAAAATCATGCGCATAATATTATAGTGATGGAATATTGTAGGAATAGCATACGACCAAGGGTTGAAGCTGGCTTAAAGAAATGGAACAAATAAGGAATATAGAATAAAAAATAGAAAAAAAAAAAATTATGTACATATGGAGATATCTGTCTTGACTGGGGACTTCATATTCAGAGGAAAATAGAATAAACAATGTTTTCATTCAGTCCTCTAGGTGTAACGGTGTCTAAACTATGTATCCAACGAACCTCCCTTTGTAGCAGCATTTTGGCTCTGTCTCCCCCTCTAGGTAGGGGCGGGGATATGATCGATAGCTGTAAAACATAAAGTCTGTAGTCGGTGTCCCAAGTCCAAAACGTGTTTTGCAACTGGTTTGTCACTAGCGTTGTCACGAAATGCGGTGGTGATGGTGAATTGGTGGCCGCATATCCGATCTCTAAGGGTCAAATTGGTTTTGCCCACATAAGACAGTACGCAGGGACAAGTAATCATGTAGATCACATGGTCAGTGGTACATGTGATATATTGGGAGATGTTGATTCTTTGGCCGCTATGTGGGTGGTTCCACCGACCATGTGACACACCCACTACATTTGAAGCACCCCTTTCTGACAATTTTAGTTGGTATTTGATAGCAGTGTCTAGGATCGTTTCTCACAAGTATGTCTCTGAGGTTTCTGTTTCTTTTGTAGCTGAGTGTGGGTGGGCTTTGGAACGTCTTAGGCAGTTGTTTATCCACTCGTAACAATCCCCAAACATACACATTTTATATACACACACACACACACACACACACACTACAGCACCCCTCACACTGCACCACTACACACATTACACTCCAGATACACGCTAGATCCCTTACCCAACTCTGGATCACCTAATCTACACACGCACACAAATACACATGCTAGTCTCTCCCTCTCTCTCCCTCTCCTTGTAAGCAAACATACTACATTCTCTAAACACACACTCTCTACCACCCCTACACACACTACAGCCAGTATGCACACACTCGCTACATCCCCTATACACACAAACTCTCTACAGCCCCTAGCCACACATATTACACCACATATGAGAAAACCACCTATTTACACAATACCACACCACAATCAGCTCACTCTATACACACGCAATCCCACAAGCAGGCTCCAAACACATGCACGATACGCTTTCCTGGCCCTTTTGTCCTCTGGAATGTCACTTATGTCACCAGAGACTAGTTAAAAGCAAACACAGCGCAAGCGTGTTTCTAAATTTGCTTACGCTGCGCAGAACAAATACAGGGCCTTTTTCTCATGCTAGAGCTCTTCAGCATGGCTCTGCGCATTGAACCAACATGCTCACATTGAGAGGGGGCGTGCTTGTCATTAGTGATGACAAATCACACCCTCGCTGGCCCCGCTTCCTTCTCAGGAAGCTGCCTGCTGTGATTGGAAAATGCCTGCTGCTGTGTAACTGGTGCCTGAAGTCTGTATGTGCAGCATTTTGCTATGAAATGCTGCATACACATTTATTAAAGGGACACTATCTGCACAATAACAACTTTATTTTACTTCTAACATATTTTACCAGGAAGGATACATTGATTTCTCTCATTTTCAAATATGTTCTGACTTTAGCTTAATTAAGCAGTTTTGGTGTATAGATCATGCCCCTGAGGTCTCACTGCTAGACCCTGTAGGAGCCTCTGGTCTGTGATTAAAGTTCAATTTACAGAACACTAGACCATGTTTTTCATGCAGGCTGGATCAGTCACAGCCAGGGAAGGTGTAACTAGGGCAGCATGGATAGAAACAAAAGAGATGTAACACCTCATATATGGTTGAAGAAACCCTCCCAGACACAGAATGTTGGCAGATGCCACATATAGGTCTTAGACAGAAGAAATCCAGACAGGGAAGTCCCCTGCACAATAAGCAATGCAAAGTGCATAGATTGCCATGGAACTTGGACTGTCACTTTAAGGACAATAACATTTTCATAATCCATCAATTCACAGGAAAACAATACAAAGCCCATGCTTTAATTGAGACAGATATCTTTATGTAGATTAAAGGATCACTATAGGGTCAGGAACACAAACTTGTATTCCTGACCCTGTAGTCTTAAAACCACTATCTAACCCCCTTGGCCTCCCTAAAGATAGTAAAATCTTACTTGTAAGCTGCTGTCTGTGCCTGTGACCTTCCTCTGACATCATCAGAAGTGGTGGCCTGATCCAATCACAATTGATGATTATTTTTAAAAAGTATATACTTTTTTATTGCTTATATAAAAAAAAATCAAATATAAAAACAATACAAAATATTACTTGTTATAGTCCAATTTATATTCCAGATACCCGTTTCACCGAAGTTCTCAGCTTCCTCAGTTCAGTAAGAATCAAGTAGTCATTTATTACCTTTTAGAGGGCTTTACTTCCTTCATTGAAGCTATGTGGAACAACGTTATCCTATTCCACTTCCATCAGGAACGGGACACATTCCAAACCTCATTTTCAATCGTAGGTGCCATCTTGCTTGCTTCCTTGACACAGCTCAAATTCCTCTCACTAAGATCATCACATTTGATGATATCTCATCCTATCCAATACTATGTAGAGAAGCACTGGATCTGACTCAGCGCAACATCAGGAAGTGCCTCTAGTGGCTGACTGGTAGCCAATACAGGCAGTTTTAACTTTGCAATGAAAACATTGCAGTTCCTCAAAGGCTGCAATGTTTTACATTGCGGGGTTAAGGGGACAGAGAGACTTCACCCAGACCATTGCAATGGGATCAAGTGGTCTGGGTGACTATAGTGTCCCTTTAATAAACATTTGTGTTGATGGGCTGTGTATATGTTTTCTAGATTGAAAAAAAGTCTTGCACATATTCCTCTGATGTCAGGAGGGTCTCTTATGAGTCCACATAGAATTAGGAGAATAAGGGGACATTACTAGCAGGGAAATCCCTAGTTATGGCACAACTGTTTAAACTAACACTTCTATGTTAAAAAAAAATAAAAATGTAATTTTAGTTTTGGAGTTTTCCTTTTTTTGTTCTTGATTTAGGCACCCCACTTTTTTTTTAAATTCTTTATTTTCTGTTGTGCATGGTATAACAGTAGGCTTACTCAGCCACAATAGCAGTCGTAAGCTTATAACAGGCATCATAAACATAACGTGGCATATAATAAATAGTCAGCACAGTTTTTAGGGTTTTGTTGTAGGGAATAGATTGCACAATTTTTGTGATAACAACAGGCATAGTACATTGTGGTAGCTTGGTAGTAGTGTGGTAGGGTACAAGCAAGTTGTGCCTCAGATTTCGGGTGTTAGCCTACAGGCACGTGAGGTGTATATGTAAGAACCATAGCACCTATATTTACACCTATATTTAGGTCCATATTGTACAGGCTGGAGATATGTAAGGAACAAGCAGATATATCTTTGGTGATGTCAGGTGTTAGACTAGTGAGCGGGGAGACTGACATGTAGGTGGATCAGCAGCGGTTCTAAGCTCTGTCGCTATGGTTAATCTATGCTTTAAGGTGACTTGTGTGCATTTGCAAGATAGGTGAGTTAAGACACATAGCGCGTCTCCGGTTTGGTTCGTATTCCATGGGTGCTTGTGTATTGCGGTGGCTAGAGGCATTGTGGGGGTATGTCATGGTAATAAGGCTCCTGAACCCCGGAGTCTGGGGGGGGTGGGGGTGTTTTGCTGCGGGAAGCTTACCAGGTGTCTAATCTACAGCACGGCATCAAGCAGATAATGTAAGTGGCATAGAGATGTATAACTGGCATACAATTTAGGCATAAACTTAAATACAAAAAAAAGAAGAAAGGAAAAACACACAAAAGGAAAACAAGGGGGGAGAGTACATTGCATCAGTCAGTGTATTAGCACTCTGATCGGTTCCTTCATGGGGTTCCTGTTGATGAACGGTTGATTCATTACCTTAAGAATCGGGTAGGTGCATGATGTCGCTTCCTGCTGGGGCCGTCCCCATGGGGTGAATGGTGTTATGTTGGCTATATCCCACCGCTGTGGTGTTTTAGTCTTGGCACCTTCCGTGGGGCGAATACCCAGTGCTTGTAAGAGTTGTGGTGCTTCTGCTGGTGTTGTTAGTCGGTGGTTTTGACCTTCATGTGTGGCGATCAGCATTCGGGGGTGGCCCCATCTATATTGTATGTCCGCTGCTCTCAGTTGTGTTGTGATTACTTTCATGGAAGCCCGCCACTGCAATGTTTGGCAACTCAGGTCTTGGAAGAAGTGTAAGGTTAGATTCTTGAAAGCGTACAGGATCTGGCCCCTGACAGTACAGAGGAATCAGTCTTTGTCTGAGCGGGATTTAAAGCTCATGATGACATCCCTTGTGGTGTCTGGGGCCTCATATATTTTTTTTTTCTTGCTAACTTTTATTGATTGAAACATTGACAGTTTTATTTAAAACTATTGGGGTTTATATACACTTGCCAAGTGCCCCTGCAGGGAAATTGTTTTTTTTTCTTTAGGTCCCCGCAATATCGTGTCCACTGTTTCTTACTCCAGAGGTGATGTTTATAATCACAATTCTAACTAAAATAAAGATCGTTGTTGTTTAACTTATGGTAATACTGTGTGTAAACTACTAATGCCAGCCATCACAATCCTGTACACGTGTTCTAAATTGACGATTTCTGTTTTATATTTAAGTAGCACCTTTCAATTTCAATTTAAAAAAATAAAAAAATAACACCCAATAGTTTTTTTTTCTTTAAACAAACAAGGTTATTCACAAAAGTGTTAATTGTTGTCAAGTGAAAGCTGTTTAATGACTAAGCATCAAATTGAGCTACATGGAAGTACAGAAAAAAGTTATGGAGACTAGCTGAATTAAAGATTTTTTCCTAAACAGCCATTTTAGCCAACATTTTTCCATATGCATTTAAATAAAATTATTATTATAATATAAATATTATTGTGGACTGACATTTAAAGTTCAGTTAGAAGTCACCTTATATTCCCAATACTTAAAATTATTATTTTTTATTTTTTTTTAAACTTTGCTATTTTGACCTGAAATTTAACGTTCACATTGAAATCACCTTTGATTCCCAAGAGTATACCTGTTAGAGTTTGGTTGTAATATTCTAATTTAGGTCTGAAGATAAGATTGATCACCCTAGTGATTTTCCTAAAATGGTCTTAAAGTGGACCCTTAGCCAGCAGGGATCCAGAATTACCAGCTTACACAATAGGTTGAGGTTTTATTCACCAGCATTTCCTGTATGTGGGGAAAGTGCATTGTCAACTCCGGTGCAGAGATCGGTGCACATAAACCCTTAAAATTCTTCACCAGAGTAAATAGTGTTTTAACCAGGAATCTGGCAGTTATTTGCACTTTTGTGTTGGAGGTTATTTTAACCCCCCACATGTGACTTATGCATGAAAGAAAAAAAACAAATGGGACACTCTTTGCACATAAATTACTCCAGCAAGCTCAAAGTACTTCAAGGAACCGTAAACATTACAGATCATTGTAGTGGTCATTGTGTTAGTGTCAGGATTACAGTTGATCCAGAACGCAGAATAGTATCACACCTAGAACTATAGGTAACGTTTAACGGGACTTTCTGGAAAGGTGATCATTGTTGGGCATAGCATATGGAGTGGATGTATATGTGACCGTTAGGAGACTACCCTCTATCTCAGCTTCTTATTGCCACACAAGTATGTAATTATTGACACTTGATTATTCAGAAGCCCTTATTTTGATATAGTATTTGTGGCTAAAGAGATGATAAATTGTGGATGTTAAAGGGGTTCTGGATTTCGTCTAACTTTTCCAAAGTAAAGCCTCTCCATGCAGAATAGCCTAGAACTCATAATATATGAGATGCAGGACATGTAGAGTGCAGTACTCCTATTTATTTCTGAATACACGTTTAAAAAACAAACCTCTTCAATAAAATTAAAATAAAAAATTGTCTGAACATTATACATATAAACAAATCAGGTGAAGCATCAAATGCAGCAAACTGCACTACTCAGCTCTGGTAATATCTATGGGCAGCCATAATGTGTAATTGTGACGGACCCTTTAGTCACCTACGCTGGGCACATCAAAAATAGAATACCCTGCACTCAGGTCCTGCACAAATTCTCCCGCCTTCCACCAAGGGGGCGTTCTGTGTGTAGGATGGACACCGCAGAATCCACCAATGTAGTATCACAGAAGAGAAACACAGGATATAGAAGTTATTCTGTTTTTGTTGGACTGTTTTCATCGCTACACCCTGGCACCGGTAGCACAGACTGGAAGTTAATGCGCAATTACAACGTGAATATGGAGCTTAATATGGATCTCAGGAGTCTACTCATTTTGTCAGGTATTCATAATCAAGGGGTTTTTCTTAATACTGCTGGTGATAGAGATTTATCTATGCAATTGGTGAAGTGTCACAGAAAACTGACAAATTGCAAACTACATTGCATCACGCTTGCTGAATACTTTAAAACCAAGCATATACTACGTGGTTTACATATTAAATTGCAACCTGCTTAATTAGTAAATAATATAGAATATTGCAAGAGATTTGAACAGATTTTAAATAAATGTTCCTTTGACATGATTCTAGTCACCATTGCATTTCTACAAAAAGATATCCTTGAAATTGAAAATGAAAAATCACACGGATACAAAATCAACTTAACACCATGATGACTTTCAAAAATTTGAATGCCCTTAATAAACTGAACTGGGAGATTGAGCAATATAAATTGTAAGTGTAACAGAGGAAAAGAGCAAAATGTATTAGAGATGCTGAGGACTATGCTAATAACAGAGTAAAAAAATGGGCTAATGAGAGGAGTTGAGAATATCCCTTTAGGAGACGAGTTACCAGGCGATCACGCAGTGATGCATATACCACTAAGAGTTCTTCAGCCTCGGGTACAACTGACTATGATACTTCAGATGATCAGATGTCTACTAAAACACAATACTCTAACTCTTTTTTAGCAATAAATCAACGGAAAGATCAAGGAAGAGAAAAACTAGATGCAGTAGACCACGATCAATTAACAAGATCGAAGGTCAGATTGAAACCAGACCGGGATAAGAAGACATACTAATACCGGATGTACAATCCCAGAAGAAGGACTAAACAGTAGTTAACATCTCCAATACTATACTCAAAAAGAGTATGAACTTAAAGTACTTGCTAAAGGACTTTCTTTTTGCCCTACTGCTGAATCTAATTCGTTTGATTTATTTCTTAGCACTGAGCGGTTTCTCGTGTCTATTAATTTAAAAAAAATTTTTTAGCAAACAACATAAAGATAGTGATGTACTACCCTCGAATCCAGATGCCCTTACAGCTAAGGAATTGCGGTTATGGAATCACAGCACCTTTTGTCCTCCTATGGCACCAGAGGTTGAAGTTTTTTCTAAATTGATCAATAGAAATCTTAAAAGGTTTGATTCTCTCACCCATAACCATCATGGCTCCAACCTTACAAGGGCTGATCGCCTAGCTTTATCTTCCCTTAAAAATAATTATGATCTTATCATTAAACCGACTGATAATGGCAGAGCCGTGGTGGCCATGAATAGAACAGATTACATCAGGGAGGTTGAACGCCAATTGAGAGATGTAAATACCTATGAAGTCTGCCCCAGGGACCCTACACCCTCTTTTACTAGATAAATGAGTTTGATTATTAAAGAAGCAGCATGTAATGGAGTTATTGATCAATCTTTAAAATTATTTTTGATCATGCCTACCTTTTACATATTACCTAGCATACACAAGAGGCTGATAGATCCTCTAGGTAGACAGTTAGTGGCCACTGGCCAGCACTGACTCTGCACTGCAGCCACTTTCGGTCTTCCTGAATAGAATTCTACAGCATTTTGTCAGTAGAGCAAAATCTTATATATTGGATAGCAGTGATGTCCTTTGGAGACTGAACACTCTTAAAATTAATACCCCCGCTATATTATTTACATGGAATATATTAAGTCTCTACACCTCTAACACCCATGGAGAAAGGCCTGAGGTTCTTAATACTAGCCAATATACTAACTCACAGGTTGAATTTTTTTGTCAATTTTGAACTTGTTGTTGCATAGAAACTATTTTCTGTTTGGATATTACTATAGACAACCCAGAGGCACCACTATGGGTTCGAATATGGCCCTGTAACAACCCCCCACAATATTGCCTGGGGACATCAACCTTTTCCTGCCATCAGTAACATTGCTCCTTTACCTAAGAACAAAAACTGTTCATGTAATTGCCTTCGTTTACTGGATGTACACTAAAAGACCGTTTGAATACCGAATTTTTCACCGAACGCCCGACCACCCAGAACAGAAGTGTGGCACTCATTCAACTCCCTGACTCTAGTATCACCGTGAAAACCGCGAACACTCCATTGGTTTAAATGTTATTCAGGGTGGTTGGCATTCGTTTGCACGAACACGTGGCGGCAGCCATTTTGTTTAGTGGAACGCACTCAGTGGTGTTTGGTCGTTGAACACGTGGAACTATTTTCAGCTCTACTTTTCCACGAACACCACTGAAACTTCCATCCTCCATGCGTTCGGCTAAATTCATCCAAAAAGAGAGCTCTTTCGACAAAATAAACCCACGACCTAGCTGCATCCAAAGAGACTAAGCATGAATCGATCCGTTCGTGCAAATTGGGACTTTAGTCGAATGAAAGAATAGACTAACCGCACAGTCTGAATCTGTGGAACTGTTCTGGGCATACACACCGGCGTGCGGTCGGTCCAAAAGAGACTTTTGACTATCTCCTGAACTTCTGAATGGATTTACACAAATTTTGGATATGTTTGTCCCCAAGTTGCGCTGTTCATAAAAATATATATCTTTATATGTAAAACCAGAAAGTTATAAAATGTATAAAAAGTATGATTTTTTAGCTTGGAGATAATTAAGTAGATACAGTAAGTAACTCAATTATCTCCCAAGCAGAGGGGAGGGAATATGTGGGTTGTAACCATTGTTTGATTGGTCAATGTCTAATTGTCTGTGGGTGTCTCCCTTGCATGGGAGCACTGCATAAAAGGAGAGTTACAGGTAGAAAACGGATCAGCGCTGCGTGATATGGTCAAGTAGAAAGCTGCAACCTATAGATATGAGGTTCCCTCTGAAGTCCTCAAAAGAGAAATGACAAAAACAGGAATAATAGGTTGCGCTACATAAATAACAAAATGGAAAGGGATAAATATGTCAAACACTTTAAAACATAAATAGGGAGAAATATGTAAAAAAAAAAAAAGGATTTAATAAATATATAAAAGATATATATAAAAAGAATGATAGTCCAAATTCTTGATATACTTTTGATAAGTTCAAATGAGTGAATGATAGTAACAGTACTTAGTATATTTCTCTTTCAGGTTCTGGTAAGTATTTGGGGGTAGAGAGTCCAATAAGAGACTGGATCTTCTAGTCTTTAGAGGAGTCTTGATTCGGAGGTGAACATGGAAAATATAAGCAACAAAGACGATCCAATAGTGTAGACTGTATTCGAATGAGCAGGATAGACTGCTCAGTATATTCGCATAGGTGGTACAATCCCCACCGAGGATTCTTGGTCGTGAGTAGGCTCCAAGTTAGTGAATGACCAGGTGACAGGAAGTTTTAAAAATAAGATAAAAAGGTATATGGCAAGATTGCTGTAAAGAAGCCACTATTCCTTTATTAGTACAATAAAAAATATATAAA